TAATCTTTTCATTGACATATCATTTTATTTGTACTTCGCTCCACTCAAATTGTTTAATGGATTAATCATCCTGTCACCATTTACTGAGTATTTGCTGCTTACAGAATCCACTCTTAATTTGCAAGTAAGATAAAGACCTTTCTGTCATCTTATTTGTATTTCCTGCAGCTTGGGATACTATTGGCCACTCCCTTCTTGACATTTTCTGATCCTTTGACTTCTGTGACTCTTTTCCTTGATATGCTTCCCAACTTCTTGGTCTTGTCTTTGCTGTCCTCCATGTCTCTGCTGAACTCGTCATCTCTCCTCCTCTCCCCGACTGCTCTTCATCCTCCAGTTTCTATTCTGGTGAGTGGCACCACCATCCAATAAACTGCTCACGTTCTGAAAAAGATTCAGGGCTGAGAGTAAAATCAGGGCCCTGGGAGCTGTGAAGCAGCCACATCCGCCCTGGAATCTTACTTTCAACCATGACTTTCTACCCCCAAATGATGAGAATGTCAATAGCTACTATTTATTGAGTCTTTCAAACTGTGCTAAATATTTTACACACATTGTCTTATCATCTTCACAACATCCCTGTAAGGAAGGTGTTCCAACGATTAAACCAATTAGTCCTCCTAAAAAATCACTGAGCTAGGCACTACCGTTGTCCTTTGGTACTGTTAGGGAATGGGTTCTAGGCGCCCCCCATGGATACCTAAATCTGCAGGTGCTCAAGTCCTTTATATAAAATGGCACGGTGTTTGCATATAACCCAAGCACATACTTCTGTATACTTTAAGTCGTCCCTAGGTTACTTATAATACCTAATTCAATGTTAATGCTATGTAAATCGTTGTACTGTATTGTTTAGGGGAACAATAACAAGAAAAAAAATCTGTACATGTTCCCTACAGAGGCACCATCACAGGCCTAACTACCTAGCACGCGTCCTCGGCAACACAAGTTTTGGGGGGAGTATTTTCCATCCATGGTTGTTTGAATCCTGGATGTGGAACCCACAGATACAGAGGACCCACTGTATTCTTATTCTTGCTTACAAATGAGGAAACTAAGGCACAAAGAAATTCAGTAATTTGCTTAAGATAACAGAGCCAATAAGTAGCAGAGGTGGGTGGGAGCCCTTGTTCGTGGCCACTATGCTACCTTTGCTACGCATGCGGAGCGTTATCGAATGGTGCTGCCCTAACACCTGTGTGTCCAGACCGAAATGTCAAGTAAAACCTATGCGAGTCGTGCAAAATGGGGATTTAGGAGAGAGGCCAGAGGCAGAATGCACCAGCTTGTGAAGAGCCACGTGACTTGCCTTTGTTTCCCCTGATACATAAAGGAAATGGAAAATGGCTGCTAACTGAGATACCCAACCACAAGACTGAGCTTAACATGAAACGTGCCTTAGGAGCAAAATCTCTTGCCCAGGAGAACAGGTGCAGGTGTTATAGGGGGAGCCATAATCTGGAGCTGAAGTGATTTTGAAGATCTCAAATCGTGATCTGGTAACATGATTGCGGGTAGTAAGTCATCCAAACTTCCCATTCTCTTTCTTTGAGTTTGGATAAATCAAGCAGGCAGCCCAGCATGGAGTCAGTCCGCAACCCCTGCTGAGTACCTTTTTTATGAAGTATTCTTTCCAGGGCCTTAAAGTCTCTAGCTGTGAATGTAGAGTAAGTACTGTCATTTTTTTTTTTCTTAAATGTTGGCAAGATTGGGTTCTCAAAAAGAAAAGTGGTCTGTAAAGGCTACACACTATCATATAACAGAAAGAGTGGTTTGAGGAATGACAAAATCACCACTCCCAAATTCCACACCAGAGTTTCAGGAGGAAATAGATCTGTCATATTAAAGAATTCAAATCATTTAGGGGCAACTGCTGCTGTATAATCAGTCTCACACAGCTGGCCACAGCCTCCCGGGACGATAGCTGAGCCATATATTACAGTGCAGATTCTCCCTTAAGTTTGTGAATCCATCTGATTCTAACCAGTTCTCCTACCCCTCTCTAACTCCTGATCCATCCAGGCAAGTAAATAAAGAGAACACCAGGTGAACATAAGTATTTACATAAGCCACAAGGCTGTGCAAACAAACTCTTAACCGGTTAAAGGGCATCTTATACATGACTCTTATCTCTTTTCATTTTTAATGAGCTTTACATATCTAAAATCTTGTCCATATTCTATAAAAATCCTTATCCTTCTTCTCCTTAATGCTTTCGACCAGTGTTTCCTCCCCCTGCATAACACGCCAGGGTCTCTCTTGTTTAACTTCGATATCCTTTTCATCACTAAATGTACAGGTTCTAAAATAATGTGTGTAGGTTTTTAAAATAATGAATGTAAAACCTTCCCAGGGTCTGCAAATTGCCCATTAGCTGAGAATTTGTTATTTCCATGGAGGGGTTAAAATGGATTCCCTTTTGAAACATGCTGTGTGAATATATTTTTCTTTCACTTCCAGGGGCTCCAATTTAGATTTGATAAACTGCAATCACAACCTTTCCTCTTAGGGTTTCGCAGAGATTAGTGAAAAATGGACTCAATCAAGAAATTGAATTTCAGTAAGGGGGAGAAAGAGGCTTATTATTTAGCAAGTCAACAAAGAACATATTCTAGGTTCTCATTATACATTTTTAAAACGCAGTGCTAGTTTGAAAACAAATAGGCCAAGGAAGAAAACAAAGAGAAAATTCTACACACGAAAAACCAGTACTAAAGGTCACTGATTATTTTTCTGTTTTCTTTTTTCCTAGTTTTCAAATCCTGGATGATGGGCGTTGACCTTTTGCTTGTCGTGTTCTCTATGCTGGGACCCAGAACAACTCACAGGTATTATTTATTTAGCCAGCTTCATCATTAAAGCTGCCAAAGAGGATCCAGGGCGGAACCAACACAGGGTTGCGGGCCCATAAAAAGGACAACATTAAATATTGTACAGCAATGACCTCGTGTGTTTTCACAACTGCCACGTAAGTAGATAAGGAACCTGAAGGAATAAGGAAACAAGTATCTCCCACATTTATTGAGAATCTGTAACAGGAGAGGCGCAGTGCTGGGTTTTTGAACATACATATAAATAAGCTAATGTCAATACCCTCCACGTAGTCACAATCTAGTGGTCATGGCTGACTGTGAAAAACAATAATAAAGACACAGAACACAATGGAAGAAGAGGGGACAGGATGACTTGTAATGATTGGAGGTTTGGGGTTTTTTGGAGATGGAGTCTGAGGCTTAATGAGTAGAGAGCGTTCTATAGAGAGGGCAGGACAGATGAAGGGAGAATAAAAGCAAAGGCATAGAAAGGCTATACTGTGAGAATCTATTCGTTATCATATCGAGGTTGAGGGCAGGGCACGGGTAGAAGGGAGCTGATGTGTTCAGAGGGTTTACAGATGCCCTCGAGGCCAACTGTGGCAGCAACGTACAGAAAAGTAGGTTGGCAAGGAAATAATTTAGGAGACCATTGCAATGGTTCAGGAAAGAGGCGATGGAGCCTGGAACTGAGCAGAAGCGGGAGTGGAAAGAACGGTAGTGATCGGAGAAGCAGAATCAATATAATTTGGCAACTGATTGGGCATGAACCATGAAGGAGGACGATGGGTTGGAGATGATTCTGACACATTCATTTCAACCAGTAAACAGAGGACACTTGAGCCACCCTTGGTCCAGACAGAAGGGAATTTCTACTAAGGAGGGGACACTGATTTAGAAATCAACCACAGGGATATGACGGTTGAATCCACATAAGAGGAAGAAATCACTGAGAAATAGAGTCTAAAGAGAAAAAAGACAAAACGAAAAACCTTAACATGCAGGGAAGAAGGGAAGGGAGAGCAGTCAGTCACTGGTGTCACCTGCATGGTCAGTCTGAGACGGAAATGGATGATGCCCGGTGACAGAATTCAGGGAAGACAAGTTTCCAGAAAGACAGCTGAATGCGGCTGAAGGGATGAGTAAGCGATTTCCTGTGGTCACAGAGCTCACCCCCAAGCTCCCAAACTCTGCACATATCTATTGAATTATATCACACATGAAAAACAATGTGGTTTCTCATGAGGAACCTACGCCTCATTTTACGAGTGGTTAACCCGGGACTCTTGTTATCGAAAATAAATTGCGAGTTCCAATCTCCTGCATTAAACTTTCTCTGCAGCTCACACCACTCACCTTACAGTGAGCTTTTTAGATAACTACTATTAATCAAGTCCGAGGCCTCACGTGCTCTCCTTCACCCTCGAGGTATTACGCCGTGGTTACTTGCAAGGGCTTCCAGAGTCATAAGGCTGGATGGACTCTTATCTAATCCAGCAGTGTGCCAAGGGCGTGTTCCCTAACTTCTCTAGCATGAGCTTCCTCGTTTCCAAGTTTGGGGATCGTGTTACCTATTGCAGTTGGGAAGAGTGCATGAGAGAGTGCAAGTAAAGCTCTCCGCATACCGCCGCGGGAGGCTCAATTCTTTATTGCTGTTACAGTTTTGTAATCTCCCCGAGGGCAGAGGATCCCTCCAAACAATTCTAGTCCCTAAAGTGTGGCATCGAGCCAGGGACATGTGAGCCTAGTTCTCCCAGCCGTCAGGGAAACGTCATTCGCGGCAAGAGGGATAAAGAGCAGATCAGCTCCCGGGAGGGACGGCTGGCCGCCCGTGACCCTTGGAGGGCTACCCGACCCAGGGTGCAGAGCGCCCACTCAGGGTGGAAACTCAGATAGGCGGAGTCGGGGTGCCAGACCGCCAGGGAAGAAGCACTGCACGCTGGGACCGGTAGTTTCCAGGTCGCAAGTTCACGGGTCGGAGGAGGGCCCAAGCGACAGAGCCCTCCCCAGCCCCGCCTTTTGTCCACGTCTCATTTCTCCGGGCCAATGCGGTCTCCTGCCCGCGGAGCCAGCCCCTCTGCGATCCGGTCCCCATTGGTCCTGAGGCTCAGCGTCGGGGGCCCTACCCGGAAGTAGCGCCGGGGGAGGTGGTTTCCTAGACTACGACACCGGAAAGCCAGGGGAGGTGCTCCGGGCTGTAAGGGCGGAGGGTGGCGGCAGCGCTGGCGCTAGGGACAGGCTCGGTGGCTTCGGGAGACAGTCCGGCGACGGCGTCCGCTTGCTTTCCTCGGCATCCCGCCCTCGGCACGGCTCGCAGTCCCCTCGCCACCCGCGTCCGGCAATGTGTCCCACCGGCCGGGCGTAGCCGCTGCGCGTGCGCGGAACCGCGGGGCCATGAGCGAAGCCGGTGGCTGCCGGGGCTGTGGGTCTCCGGTCCCTCAGCGAGCGCCATGGAGCCTGGTGGCGACGACGGCCGCTCTCTGCCTGGTGACGGCCACGTCCGTGTGGACGGCCGGGGCCGCGCCCATGAGTAGGGAGGAGAAACAGAAGCTTGGGTAAGGGTGCTTGGCAGACTGGGGTGGGTTTCCTTGTGTGCCTGACCACAGGTGCCTGTCATTGCGAGCCAGGCTTTCAGTGGCCTCTCGTCGCGATGGGACGTCTGTGGCCTCGAGACAACCCTGGCGGGCTGGACAGGTTCCGGGAAGGTGGGGGCCGCCGCCCGAGTTGCGACCTCGGGGGACTGTCGGCGTGTCGCCTTGGCCGTCGGTGACATGTGCAGGTTCCTTGAGGCCAGCCGTGGTGTGTAGACGCGGCTGCCATGTCAGTGGCCCGTGAAGTGGGCTACAGCTCGTGTTGCTGCGCGGGAGAATCCTGGGGTTGTTTGTCCTGCGAGATCTGGTTAGGTTTCTCGCACAAGTGAGCTCCCCGCTGGGAAAATGTTGAGTATCTCACGGTAGTTAAGGAAATAATGTTTGCACCTGTTACGGAGAAACGAAGGTGTTCATTGGAACTTGGACATGCCACATTTTACCATTTCTTGCACCTCATTTTCATAACAGGACACTATTCGGTGGTGTTTTCAAAAACCTCACTTAAGTATACATATGCACTTTACTCCAAGTAGTTTTATCAACCTTGGAAGTGTCACAAAATTATCAGTTACATTTACGGCATCTCAGAGTCAATATCCCTAACATACCTTAGGTCCCACAAATGTATTTAAAAAAGCCAAGAACCTGTAGAAATGGGCAAAGGGCTTGAAGATTTAATTCAGGCAAGAGGAAATGCAAATGGTCAATGAACATGAAAAGTAACTCAACCTCATAAATGTGAAAGATGCATCTTAAAGCAATGAGATAGCTGTTTTTTATCATCAGATTGATAAAAACAAAACATGCAGTTAGAGCACTTGGCTAGTTGAGGTGTGAGAAATAAACCTTGGTGGGAGTGGCTTGCTTTTACTACTAAAATTTAAGTTGTATGTACTCTTTGATTCATTAATCTCACCTCCAGGATTCTATCCTGTAGAAATAAAAGCACTGTTAATGTAGAGAGAGGTACACAAGGGTACGAGGGCGTGCATTTTGAAAGAATAAAACTCTTCCTTAGAGTAACCATATTATGGGATGACATTAAAATATTGAGGGGGAAGTAGGTTATTGGAAGTCTATCCAGGATATATTATGCCAAGAACCCCCCCCCCAAAAAAAAGTTGTAGAATAATATATATAATACCTTCCCATGTTTTGAAAAAAAAGAAACTGAAATTGTCTAAGCTTAGAAAAACATGGAAAGGTGACTGCCTTTTGGAGTTGGGAGATAAGGTGAAACCATCAGGTTTTATTTTATATACTTCCTATTGTTCATATTGTTGCAAGACTTGTATTTTTAAGTAAAACAGTAAAAGAGCTTGGTGGAAAAAAGATAAAATATCAGCTACTAAAATAAATCACCACAAAACTCATAAGTATCTTCCAGTTTCCTCTTTGTGAATTGAATGTATGTATCAGTGGTAACTTACTGAAAACTCTGCTCTGTGCTAGGCATTGTACGTATTATCTCTGTAATCCTCCCTGCTTCTTAATGAGGTAGATGTGATCCCCGTTTTGCAGATTTGGAAATTGAGATTCAGGGTTGACTTGTTCAAAGTCCATGAGCTACTAAAGGGAAGAGCCAGTATTCAAACCCATAAAAATTGGAAAAAGAAGCTTCAAGCAAATATCTTACTTGACTACCACTCCCCTTTCTCCCTTTTTTTATTAAAATTTTCTGGTTGAAGGGTATGTCCTTTTTGACCGAAGTTAATTTTTAACTGGAAAAGTCTAACCAGTTCAGATCAATTTTGAGATCATTTGTGAAAGTGAGGTTACAATAATTTAGGCATGTTGATTTAGATTGCCTTATTCTAGAGTAAGTATAGAATAAGAGTCTAGAGCTACAAATTACAAATGCATAGTTGCCTGATTGCCCTTCCCTCTGGAAATTTTCAGGAAAATGAACTCTTGATTCATGAAGTTTACCTGTGAGGTTTTTTTTTTTAAAGTCCCAATAATTTATGATAGAAAGCCGAATGCCCCACCTCTTTTCTCCACCCAAACGAAACTGATGATAAAGACTGTAATTGTCTGAAATTGTAAGCAGTTGCAACAGTTGCTTGCAGTTTATTGTTTCTGGAATTATTTACCTAGTCATATGTAGTCTTACCCTTCCTGGGATAACTTCTCTTTTGCTTTTGTATTTTAAATGTTACAGTAGTTGTATTAACTTTCATTAAAAAGATGTATAAAACAATCCAATTTCTATAGCACATTGGCAGGCAATATAACTTTAGAAAAAGCTGACTTAGAGAAATTATTTTGAAATGAAGAGAGACATAATTTTTGAACTATGGATCTGATTTCCAGTATATTTTAATCTAATTTGTTGAATAGGTATACAACTTTATAGAAATACTATTTGTTTAATACAGTAATTATTCTACCATTCTGTATTTAAAAATGACTTTGTTAGTACTTCTATGTTACGGTAAGAGAGAAAGTTAACTGGATATTAAATATCTCTACTTAGAAGTATGTGTTGTGGAATTTGCTGATCATGTGCAAATGTAAGGATTGAAAAATAATGTGTCCTTGTATCCATTCATACTATATTCATAATCTTGAAACTCGAATGCTTGAAAAGTTGGGTTAACAGATTCAAGCTTATATTATCTGTAATACACATGACTAGGTACAACCATTGATATGGGAATTTTGACTTCCTGGTAACAATCTTGTATTTTATTTCAGGGAAAGGGAAAAGAATTCCTATATTCCATTTATTGATATCATTGCTTGAAAGGGAAATTTTAGCTTTTTATATATATTTTTTGGTTTATTAGCTAATTTGAGAGATCTTTTATCACCTGCAAGACAGTATCTAGAAGGCATTTTTAAGATAATGATTTCCTGAGATAACTTGATCTATATCTTATCATACATATAAACACAAAGAATTTTGTTTTAGCAAAGGGATAAGATTGTGTTTTTGGTGATTAGGTGTTGCTAAATGGTTAATATAAAAAGTTGTCAGGACTTAGTTTACTCAGTTCTCAAGTTTGAGTATACTTGATTTTACTGGTCATTATGGCTAATGGATCTGGAAATAAGTCCTTTTCTGTCTGCTAGCTTTATTATTACCAGTATTTTATCATCCATGATTACAATTTTTAAGCTGACAGTTGCAATATAATAAGAGGCAAAACAAAAATACACCCAGTCATTTTCTGCGACGCTTCCTCCATTCTCACCATTAGGAACTTGGGAATAATAGGAAGAGTTAATAAGATATTAGTAAACTCTTTTTCCCTTGCTAATTACTGAGAAATTTTAGCCATAACATTAACTTCTATAGTTTTTCCGCTAGCTCTCAAGTTCTCCAGCCAACTTGAGAGCGTTTAATTGAAAGACTGATTCCTTGGTGCCAGTCGTGCAGACTTGATTTAGTAAATCTGGTGTGGGGATCAGAAACCACCATTTTAAACAGTTAGTCTGGAGATTTAGAAAAACAGCCAAAACACACATAGCTCTTTTTGAGAATACGTTTTCTCCTTTTGGAGGTGAATACTCTTTATTTGATTTTTGACAGTTCTTTAAAAGGAGCTGAGAGCACACCATAAAACCATCAAATGTATCTTCTGAAAATGTGACAAACATTAACAAACATGTACTAAGCTAGACATTAGTGATTCCATTCAGTTTAAGAGGAGAGGCAGAGGCTTGGTTGAGTATTGTTATTTCATATCAATATATACACATATCCACACCTGTCTTTTGGTAGAATATATAGTATAAGCAATAATAATTTATTTGCGTGGGGCTCCCTAGCAATTTCTCCCTTTTAGGACAGATGTTAAATAATTTGGTTAAGAGGTAATTGTTTTTCAGTATCAGATTTCCTTCTTTCTGTGTGGCATGCATCATTCATCAATTTTTTTTGGAAAAATTATAAGATGAATTTTACATGAGTTGCTAGGAAGGAATAATAAATGTTTGGCCCCATTCTGCGTGGTTCACAAAACCTTGCTGACTAACACTGGTGTCTTTCCTGACTCTGTTTATGTCCTTTTTAAGTAAATATATATATATATATTTTTTTCTTGGTGTATATTTATGAAGAAACATCTTCTTTTTGGAAGATAATAAATAGAATATACTTAACTTTTTTTATTCTCTTTTAACATTAGGAATCAAGTACTGGAAATGTTTGATCATGCTTATGGTAACTATATGGTAAGTAGAGAGCTTCTCTTTATATACCATTCGTGTGAACTGATTATTATGTGAGCACAGTCCTGGGAATTTTGAAACCTAAATTAATAGCCCCCCCCTTTTTTTCTTTTTGAAACCTTAAATTTTTAGAAATCAGTGCAAGCATAGGCTAACAGAGTATTCCTGGTAGTGGTTGTTAGAGAACCAGTTCATTGAATAGATAAGAATAAATCAAATTAGATTATGAAACTAAACAGCTTCCTTTGATGCTATCAGCAATGTTTATTGAGTGCTTTCTGTAGCTATATGTTGTGGATGTAAACATGAATAAGATGTTATCTCTGGCCTTAAGAGAAATTACTTTGTTAAGTAAAACAACAAAACAAAACCATTTATAGTATTTAATATACTCTGTGAAGAAAACCATTGCTTAAAAGAGACAGACTCTCTGTCCCTGTCCTGTACTCTCTGTCTAAACTATGTGCTCATGGTGGGCTACGATTTAAATATATTTTGCTTTCTGATCCATACAGTTTTAAAGTGTCTTAGTGCTTACTTGAGATGAAATAGCAGTTTTAGCTTTGCAAGATAAAAAGGTTCTGGAGATCTTTTGCACAACAGTTAATATACTTAAACCCGCTGAACTTTCACTTAAAAATGGTAAATTTTATTTTTATTTTTTTTATCACAGCTAATGATCTTATCCCTCATAGTACAGAGGGAGCTTCTTGCCCTGCAGTAAAATGATCTTAAACTGAAATTCTTTTTTTAATATTTAAAAAGATGAATTAGCAAGCAAATTTTAGAGTTCAAAAGAAAATGTTATGGGTAATTTTTTAAAGACTTCAGTGAAGTTATTCTGATAATTATTGCTTATGACCTTGTTTTTATTCTTTAGAATGTCAGGATATTTTCTTTTATGAGTAACACGTGTAAAAATGTAGTTGGAAAAGATTTGACAGAGAACTAACTTTAGTTTATTTTGCTTTTAAGTATTTTTTAGGTGAGTTTGTGAATTCAGTTTTCATTATATGGTACTCAAATATCTTCATATATAAACATTATAATATCTAAGTATACATACTTTTTCCATTTTTGTATTTTCTAAACATACTTTATATTTGTTGATTCTTATTCCCTTTTATATTGTACATTTTTAAGAGTGCATATTGAGTTCTTAATAAATGTTTATAGAATATAATGGTGATGAAGTTTTGGGTATTTTTAACTATATTGAAAGCACAGACTTAAATTTATTTCTTCGGATCTCAGCCATTTCCTTTATATCTTTTTCAAAATCATTTATCTTTAAAAAAGGGGTTTCTGTCATGAGTGATACACGTAGGGCAGCTTGATTGCTCCATGAGCAGAATTAACATCAAGAGGTTTCAGAAGCATCATTTTTGGTACCTGGGCAGCTGACGATTGTTGGTCCTGGTGCCCATGGGGAGAAGGAAAGAAATCATTTATCCCTGGTTCATTCACTTTGGGCAAAGCATAATTTAACTAGTCTAGGCCAGCAGTTTTGACGGGGCCAAGTGGATCCATGCTAAACCCTCAAATCTTAGCCATCTCACAAATGCCTACTTTTGGATCCAAAGTTAAGTAAAATGGTTTTATTTATAAAATAGCTGCATCAGTTCAATACATCCCACTCTGAAGAGGATCTTCTTTTTGTAAAGCACAGTATCTTCAATATCTTGTCCCTTCACTAGGTAAATAGCAGAAAGGCTTGTCGATATACTTTTCCTGTGACAGAATGCAGTTAACAACTGGGCTGTGACGGAGCAGGTGTTGAGGGCAGCCCTGAGGGGACATCCTGTTCTGATTCCTATTTCTCGGACCCTAACCGGGTGACTTCCTATTACAACTACCCACTTACAGGATCTAGAGGAAAGGAATTTCGGCTCCAGAGACTGGGAACTACTGGCATTAGCGCTCCCCTCCATTTTCCTGGTAGAGGTACACCCATCTGCAGTTGGTGCAGTACTTATTTTAAAATGTTCCGCTGTTTTACAACATGAGTGATTCTTACAGTGTACTTGTGTTATGCTCATTTTATGTGAGTTTTGTAACTCAAGATTGAGTCTAGAATTTACACTTCCCCTTTTCAGGTTCTCAACTAACATGAAACAGTTCTAAAATATTAAACAGGGAGCATGTGCCCTGTATTTGTTATGTGAAGTCTGTGGAAATTTTTTTTCTTGTTCTTACACTCAGAAGCACTATTAGCTTGCTGAAGGGTAAGAGTGTATGGGTTTTGGAGTTGGATGGGTTTGAGTTCAAATCCCATCTGGGTTATTTAATAGCTTGGACCCTGCACAGGTCATTTAATCCTCTGAGCAGTGTCTTTGTGTGTAAGATGGGGATAATTGCAAAGGGTATAAGATTACAGAGTATAAGATTTTTGAAAACAGGGACCATTTTATTTGATATTTAATAAATTCATCTTTTAAATGTCCTAATTGAATTCTTGTGAAGATTCAATCAAATAGTGCTTAATTTTTTGCACTCGGTTATTGTGGTGTATCTTTGCCTTTTAAATTCAAAGAAATCATTTAATAAGCTTCATTAAAAATACAAGTTTATGGTGAATTTTGGGATATATAAGCTTTACATTTAATTTACTTTTTAGTAGTCAGTTGCCTACTGTGCTAAAACATAAAACTGCCTGGCACACGGTGGGCTTTTAATACATGCGAAAAGCTTTTCATTTCTCACTAGCTTTTTTTAATATTACCCTCCAGTCTAGTCTACAATTAGAGCAGCTCCTTTTTACCTTCTCGGTTCTCAGGAAAACAGTGGTATTTTCCAAAGACAGGCAGTAGAATATGATTAAGAGCAAGAACTCTGGACGTGGACCAGGACACCCTGGAGTGGCTCTGCCACCTCCCAGCTGGGCTCCAGCCTTCCCGTGGCCGTCCTCCTCTCTCTGAAATGCTTTGCTTGCCTCACAGTGTTGTCGTAAGGATTCAACATGTAAGTGCTTCGAACTAGTGTCTGGCGAGTGGGAAGCACTGTGTGAGTTTACCGCTGCTGCCGAGTGCTGCCGCTTCTGTCACTGCTGCTGTATTGTTCATTCTCGGCCTGAGATTGGAATGCCCTTTTAAAATCCAGCGACTCGTTCCCCAGATTGTACCTAGGACTTCCTTAAAACGTACATGTCCTTCCCTGTTCTAGGCATGTACCTTTTGAGGGTGTTTTTTTCCTTTCCTTTTTTGGTTCCCCGGGCTCTGTTAACGCTGTTTTCCAGAACAGTGCTCTGCCGGCTTCAGGTAGTTTGCTCCATCCTGCCGTCCCTGGTGCAGCCCAGGAATGTGCTGATTTTATCGATTACGGGCACAAATATTAACACTAGAACAGCTATGTTTGACAAGCCTCTTGCCCCGGTCAGACTGCAGTTTATTCCCAGTGAATCGCACAGATGGCTTTCTCTTTCCCCCAAATAACATGAACTCTGATTGTTTTGGCAAAATCCTTGCGTGCCCTCGCTTAACCCCAGACTGCAGGCGCTTTCGGGCTTCTGTTAGCATGTTTTCAGTATCTGTGCGGAGGTCCGTTTGCAGATTGACTTAGACAACAGAAGGACGTCTCTTTGGGCCCCCAAACGCCGAGCTGAGTTGGGTCTGAGCTCTGATCTGACCCTGGGCCTCCAGCGTTTTTCCTGTGCGCTGTAGACAGCTCAGCTAACCCGTGGACGCGGCGGAGCTCTGAGCGGCGCCAGGGGGCCCTCAAAGCCGGCACACTTCCCTGCAGCTAAGGGAGTCGCACCCACGGGCCGCTCCTGCAGACGCAGATGCGCCTTTTTATCACTCAGGCCAAAGGAACTGTTTTAAAATGTAACTTGGTTATGGATTTATGTGAGTTTTCTTAGAATTACTTCCCCCCCCCCCGCCATGTTTATTTTAAAATGTATTTTAGTGTGGTAAAATATACATAACAAAATTTACCATTTTTACCATTTTTAAGTGTACAGTTTTGTGGTATTTAGTACATTGACATTATGTAACCATCACTATCTCTGGAATTTCTTTATATTCCCTATTTGAAAATCTGTACCTGATGTTTTCCTTTGATAGTTTGTTCATGAAAAGGAGTAATTCTGTAAGTAAAGTAGTCTAGAAGTGGTACGAACACTCAGAGGAGGGAAGATAAAAATTTGTCATTTTTTTGTGTGTAGACAGTTATGGGACTATGTGTTTTTAACCATCGTTCCTTGGCCTCCACTTCTAGAACACATGAAACTCTGCCAAAATGACATAAGAAATTCCGGCCCTGGCTGGTGTGGCTCAGCGGATTGAGCACCAGCCTGTGAACCAAAAGGGTGCTGGTTTGATTCCCTGTCAGGACACACGCCTGGGATGTGGGCCAGGTCCCCAGTTGGCGGTGTGTGAGAGGCAACCACACATTGATATTTCTCTCCCTCTCTTTCTCCCTCCCTTCCCCACTCTCTAAAAATAAATGAAACCTTAAAAAAAAAGTTCTGTAGTATCCTCTCATAAGGTTTTATTATCACACTCTGATACTCCATATAGGATTTTAACACAGTAGAACCATGTCTTTCTGTTGATTAGGTATAATTTACAGATAAGAATTTTCTGATTTTGAACTAGATTTTGCGCTTTGACCATTGTATACAGTTGTTTACCCTCGCACTTATGATATAGAACATTCCCGTCACCCCAAAAGCTTCCTTGTCCTCCTTTGCAGTCCTTTTCGCAACTTAACCTCCGGCACCATTGTGATGGGCTTTTTTTGTCACTATAGTTTTCCCCATTTCTAGGATTTCATATAATTGCCATCATATTGTATGTAATCTTTCGATTTGGGTTCTTTTGCTTAGCGTGATGCTTTTGAGATTTATCCATGCTGTTGGATATATTGTCATTTCCATTTTTTGCTCAATAGTATTTAGTTGATTTGATAAAACACAATTTGCTTATCCATTCAACACTTGGTACATTTTTGGCTTGTTTCTGGTCTTTGCCTATTATTAAAAGGACTGCTGTGAATCTGTGAATGCAAATTTTTGTAGACATACATTTTCATGTGTTTCCCACCTAGGAATGGGCTTGCTGGGTCTATGGGAAGGGTAAGTTTAGGTTTAAAAGAAGCTGCCCAACTTGTCTGAAGTGGCTGTTAGAGTTTGCATTTCCTACCAGCAGGGAACAAGAGTGTCAGTTACTCCACATCCTCTCTGACACTTGGTATTTCCAGTCTTTTAATTTTAGTCATTCTAGTGAGTGTATAGGGGTATTTTGTTGTGATTTTAATTTGATTTTTCCTGATGACTAATGATGTTGAAAGTCTTTGCATGTGCTTTGTATATCTTTTCTTTTTGAAGTGTCTATTCAAATCTCTTGCCCATTTTAAAATCAGGTCATTTGCCTTGTTACTACTAAGTCATAAAAGTTATATATTCTGGATGTCAGTCCTTCATCACATATACAGGGATGGGCAAAAGTAGGTTAATAATAATAACAATACTTGTATCATTAATAAGTAATGATACAAGAATAAACTTTCACATACTCAGCAACGGTAAACTTTCTGTTGTTCAGTCCCTACTCCCAGTCTGTGCTTTGCCTTTTAATTTTCCTAACAGTGTCTTTTGAAGTGCAAATGTTTTAAATTGTGGCCAAGTCCCATTTACCCTTTTTTCTTTTACGATTCATGTCTTTTATATTTTACCAAAATGATATTTGCCTAGCCCAGAGTCATAAAGATTTTCTTGGTTTTTTTTTTAGGTGTTTATAACTTTAGCTTGTGTATTTAGATCTCTCACCCATTTTAAGTTAATGTTTGTATGTGGTATGAAGTAAAAGTTGATTTGTATGCATTTTTTTTCTATGTGGATGCCCAGTTGTTCCCGCATTGTCTGTTGAAAAGAGCACCCTTTCCATACTGAATTACTGTGGCGCCTGTGGAGAATCAGTTACCCTTCAGTGCATGGGTCTGTTTCTAGACTCTGCATTTTTTTTTCATTGATCTAAATATTTATTTGTACGCTGGTCTCACAGTGTCTTAAATGTGAAGTGAAGCCTTTCAGCTTTGCTCTTTTAAAATTTTTTAGAATATTTTAGGTTCTTTGCATTTCCATGTAAATTTTAGAATCATATTGTCAAGTTCTAAAAAAAAAGTCTGTTGAGCCATTGATTGACTGGGATTATGTTGACTCTGTAGATCAATTTTGGGAGATTGCTTTAACGGTTTTCAGTCTTCCAATCCAACACAGCACCTCTGTTCACTTATTTTGTGTCAGCAGCGTGTCATAGTTTTCATTGTACAGGTCTTGCACATCTTTTGTTAAATTTATTCATAAATATTTCGTATTTATGCTGTTACAATGTTATACATTGTAGTTTTTTTCAAACTTTAATTTCCAATTGTCCGTCAATATTATAGGGAATTACAAAAACCTTTCTATCAACCCTATATCCTGCAACCTTGCTAAATTCACTTAATATTTTTAGTAGCTTTTTGTAGTAGATTCCTTAGGATTTTCCATATGGTCAGTCATGTCCTCTACGAACAAAGAGATGTTTCCTTCTTCCTTTTCAATCTATATGGCTTTCATTTCTTCTTATTGCAGTGGCTAGAACTTTCAGTATTATGTTGAAAAAACATGAAATCCTTGCCTTACTCCCAATCTTTGGGAAAAAGCAGTTGACTTTCACTATTAAATAGGACGTTAGCTGTTGGTTTTCCCAGGTGCCCCATTCTAGATTAAGTTCCTTTCTATTTCTAGTTTGCTGATAATTCTCATCATTACAGGGTATTGAATTTTGTCAAGTACTTTTTCTGCATCTATTGATACAATATTAAAAAAATCTTAATTTCATTATAACTTTATTATTTATTATCATTTATTTCATATAACAGCTCATGAGGTTGATTTATTTGATCATTGATCAAATTCAAATAAATGCAGTCTTAAACACCCGAAAAATAGTTTGCTAAGTGAATATAAATAGTGGTCAAAAAGGAATAGGGAAGTTTGACTTGGGATGAAAAGATAACTGATAAATTATGCATGTTCACTCACTAATTAGCATATGCTATTGGTATGTGATAGATGGTTTATTAAATATCATTTAGTGTTTATTTTAGGAAGGAATATCTTACCTTCCTCAAAGGAGGGAGGTCCTTAAGGGTCTAGAATAAAACATTTAAAAATGTACATAACTTTAATGGAAATTAAATAAATTTGATATTTTCAATAACTCACTTTTATAAATAATGCTTTCGTTTTATTATTGTTTTTATTGCGTCTCCCCTTTGCGTAGTTTTTGATGTTGGTTTTATGAAAAGTCAGTTTTGATGCTGCCTTGACTTGAGTATTTTCAGAGAGAGTTTTATCACTTCAAAGTGGTGGTAAATTTAGAATCTGATGTGGAGAGTCTACTATGTTTTTATGTTTTTCCTCTTGCTTTTAGCTAGGCGCACATTCAGTTTCGTTCATTTTGAACTCTTTTTCACCTGAGTTTTGTTTATGAGTGATGATTATTAAATGTTTTTCATGGCTCTGCGTCATAGCACTGTGAATCACTTATCCCGGGTTCTGGCTTTACATTGTGAATGGGAAGTATTACTGTACCTCAGATAACCAGGATGCTGGAAGCATAATATGGCCGTTTATTTGCCACGTATGCAGTAGTCTGGATTTATGCAAACCAACTGTAGTTTGCTCTGTGGTTAACCCAAATAAAAGGCTGTGGTTTTCTTTTTATTCTTAAATTGAAACGGGAACATGAAGTATTTTTATACAAGGTTCAAAACTCCCTTATTTGATTATTCTGGCTTGCAGTTGCTATTAATATTTTTCTTATCTGGATAAGCTTAGGGTTTGAGGGTTTAAGCTTAGGGTCCATATTTAATTTCAGACATTAGTGTCTGTCTGTGTATGTTGTAAAACCTTGAAAATAGTGATATGAAGCTTTCTAAACAGTGGTGTAAGTAACTCTTGATTTTAAAGGAACTTTTAAAAATCAAATTAACATTTGAATGTCTTTCAAAATACATCAGCAAGTTTAAAAAATGTTACTTTTCTTGAATTGCTTCTAAGTGTTTTTATATATGTTAAATAGAAAATTATAGAACAATAAAAATAGTGTGTATTGTGGGAATGACAGTGCCATTGGAATTAACACTGAAAAAGTAGCAACTTGACATGTAAAAGACACGTTAAAATAATTATTAATTTATACTGAAAATTATATATAATATTAAAATTACAAAATACTGAATTCAAAATTTAATAGCTCCACGTGAATTCTAATTATATCAAAACATTTGTTGCCTGGAATCTTTTAATTGGGAAATGAATTAGTAGAGCACTGAACTTATTTAACTACCTAGAGGGTAGCAGTCTTCAGTGCTTTTTGTATTCTTCATCCTACTTGATTTTGGGGATTACTTGGGGGGGAGGGTGACTTTTCTGTTGACTGTGTGTTTAGTGTTCTTGCCCTCGATTCTAGTTTTTTGCTGCTGATGTGCTGTGAGTTTAGAATTATGTAGTTGAGTTTAATAAGAGGTAGTTAGATAGAGTTGGACATGGAATTGGGAATATTTTTGCAGAACTTAAACAATTAAGAATCATATGGGCATACAAGTATCGGAGGAACACGAAAGAGTATAAATTGATGTCTTCAGTTTGATAGTAGCTATCAAAAATTAAATATCCATACCTTTGAGCCATTGGGCCTGTTCCTACGGATTTAATCCATAGCAGTACAAGCATATGTACAAAAGATACATGAATGTAGAATTTTATTGGAGCGTTGCTGATGTAGTGAAAAATCGAGTTCAGCTTATGTGTTTATCAGCAGAAGAACAAACAGACTTGAGCATGTCTGTACTGAGGAATACAGGGAGGAGAAGGCACTGCGAGGCCCGGAGGCCCTGCAGTCAGGCGGTCAGGCTTGAATTCTGCATCTGCCGGTTGCCCGTTGCACCACATGGGCTCACTTAATTCTGCTGGGCCTCGGTTTTCTGATCTTCGGAATAGAGGTAATTGGGTCGATTTCGGAGGGCTGTGTGACAGTTAAATGAACTGAAGAGTAAAGAACAGTGCTTACAACGTACGTACTCTGTAACATCAGCCTATGTGAAAGTATGGCTTTGCACTTCCAGTGTACCTCAGTACTCGTCGGTTCGCTCCGGAACTCTGGACGCGTGCCAAATGATGGAGCATTTTCTCGTGCGGGGTGGTGTCGTGGCTCATAGAAAGTGTGACGAGTCCCAAGCAGGCGCTGAGTGCAAAACGTTTTTTTGTTGTCAAAATGCAACGAGTACAGCGTTTAACAAGTTCTGAAGCCGATGAGTACCGAGGAATAAGACATCTATAAAATTCCAATAGGAAGGGGGGAGACAGAGACATTGATGTGGGAGAGAAACATCAAGTGGCTGCCTTCTCATATGTGCCCCCACTAGGGATCAAACCTGCAACCTGGGTATGTGCCCTGACTGGGAATTGAACCTATGATCCTTCAGTGCATGGTATGATGTTCCCACCAACTGAACCCAAACCAACCAGGGCCGATTATCAGATTTTAAAGAAGTGTTTTCCTACATATTTTTTTCAAGCATGTATTACACTTATGACTAAACTTTAAAAAACAAAAAAGATTCAATACATCATAGGAATACTAGAATTTTTTGACTAACCTTTATTTTACTTTAAAAAAAAAAAGTGACTATGGAAAGGTTACATTCCCTAAGTGATGTGTGCTTTCACTTATTTTCCTGGCGACTCACTCTGATATCCTTGCAGGAACATGCTTACCCAGCCGATGAACTCATGCCTTTAACCTGCAGAGGTCGTGTCAGAGGCCAGGAGCCAAGTCGGGGTGATGTCGACGATGCCCTGGGGAAGTGAGTGTTAACACAGCGGTGGCCTGGCTTGGCCAGGCTCCCAAGCCTGAGGCTCCTTAGAGGCGGTTGGCAGTAGTGTTCCTGGGGATTGCTTGAACGTTAATGGCTGCTTTAAGTATTACATTAAGTTTCTTTATTCCCTCCCTTATCTTTCATAAAAACATCAGTTTAGCTCTTTGCTCAGTGGAAAGTTAAGATGAATGTCTCTTTTAACATGTGTATAAAGTCACCCCCACGATATAAGTGTTGATGCTTTAATATTTTTATTTGCTTTAAAAAGAGCAAATGAATATTTCTATTCATTTTGAGGGATGCGGAGCTGAAAATAAATGTAATGCTAAGGCTCTTGAGGTTCTTCCAGTGCTTTGTAGGTTACATTGTACTATTGATGCGTGAGTACTAGTGCACAGAAACTGCCAGTAGGATACAGATACACCTGCTCGTGCATTCATTGATAAAATATTCAGAATTCTCATGTTTTATATCTTACTATACTTGTTTCTTAGGTTTTCCCTGACACTGATCGATTCTTTGGACACTCTTGTGGTAGGTTTAACTCGTCTTGAATTTACTTATTTTATAAATTTCATAATATATACACAACAAGTCTAAAATAGAATCCTTCAGAATTTCAGAGGTATTGATCTTTGATTCTAAGTAAATCTTTCACTCTATCGATTTAATAATGTCATGTGAATGCCAAATGAAATTATGGAGAACCGTGGAGGTACTCACATAACTTATAGATATGTCAGCTTAGATGATGCCACCTTAATCAGGGAGGTTCTTGCTACAGAATTTACATAGACTTCGACTTTAAAAGGGAAAACAGTCAATTTAAAATTGGGTTTCATATTAAAATTTACTCAGGGCTTACCCTGAATTTTACTTGAATTTTAATCAGGTACTCTTAAGGAATATTATTTCTAAGTTGGAATTTTTAGTGAAAGTATTAAATGAAGTGCAGAAAAGCACCACAAAATATTGTCAAATGAAAAGATTAAATGGTCAAGTAAAGGTAAGCTACTTTTAATGGATTATTGTCTGTCTTTTCTTCTAGGTATTAAATAAAACTAAAGAATTTGAAGATGCAGTGAGAAAAGTTTTAAGAGATGTTAATTTAGATAATGATGTAGTTGTATCAGTCTTTGAAACAAACATCAGAGTTCTGGGGTAAGTTTGAAGACTCAAAGGCTATAATTTTAGTAACAGAAAAGCTTAGGGTATAGTGTTTTTGTCTTGATACTAATTAATAAAGCAAGACACTTCTTCCTTTAAAAGATGAAAGTTGGGATATTATGAAACAGAGGCTGTGGAGGATCTTCCATTAAATCAGGGACCAAAGCAGCAGGCTTTGGACAGAGTTGCAGACTCAAATCGAAGGTCATCCCTGTCTGTCGTTGAGACAGGACCGTCGGTGGGACATTTGCCCATTAGCTGCATCACAGGTTTTTCACGAGCAATATAGTTTGCTACCCTTTGCCAGCACCTCCTCACGCCAAGTGAAAGTAAGTGTGTAGGGTTACCTTTCAGCTGAACCATTTGAAGTGCTCTTGGAACATTTAAAAATATGGAATTACAGGATTTATTAACTCAAATTTCAACATTATTTTTATATTTAATAAGGTTATTCTCGTGTTGTTATAATGCATTTTCTTTTGTCAAAGTGAGTATTCTTCAATTAAATTTAAGAAATAATTTTTAAAAATTAAAAAAATTTAAGAAATAGTTATGTAGCTTTTCAGAGTTTATTAATCTATTACATTTATTGCGAGTTGGGAGTTGTTTTTTTAAATTTTTTTAATATTACACTAACAGTTAAAGCTTTCATGATGATATAATTAAGTAAAGTTAAAGTTTTGTTAAAATTAAATTTGTCAGGTTTGTTCAAATAAGGGACTTCTTTGATCTTCTTTACGTTAAGAGAACCTTTTTAAGAACGCCAAACACTTTAACACAGGTAGAACATCTGTATTCTTTTTCAAACTGGCTATGCAATTATGAAGGTGTGCCATAAATGAGTAGCCAGAGTTAGGTAAAAAATTAAGTTCTTCTGTGGTCTTGCCTTATGTGTGGCAAGTTGTTGCTAACAAGGTGCATCTTTTAGTGGGTGGCCTTCGGGCACCTGTAAGATGTGGACAATGTTCCGTCTCTGTGATGGCAGGGGTCTTCTGGGTGGACACTCACTGGCAATCATGCTGAAAGAGAAGGGCGAGCACATGCAGTGGTACAACGATGAGCTTCTGCAAATGGCCAAGCAGCTGGGTTACAAGCTCTTACCAGCTTTCAATACTACCAGCGGCCTTCCTTATCCAAGAGTAAGTAATTCGGGAAAATACAGACGTGTGTGTATATACTTCCTTTGCTATTTAAAATAAAAACCAACAATAGACTGTTGTGATTGGAGCCATTGTTCCTCACCTTCCTGTGGCTGGAGAAAAGTGCTTCATAGCTAGATAACAAATTTGTATTGGCACTTCAGTTAATTTGGATTTGAGTGGTGGGAGAATTTAGGTGAGTTTAAACCTTTCATATGTCACTCATGCACGTTAGACTGTGCTGCAGAAGGAAGAGGCTGTGCCAGGCTACAGCTTGGGCACAGAGTGATGGGTGCAGAAGATGCAGTTGAAGCAGCGCGAGTAGGTGTGAGCTGCCCAGAGGAGAGGCTAGAGGGAGGGCCCAGGACGGAGGGGCGCGGGGAGGAAGTGGAGCCGTGAGAAGGAGAGAACAGAAACATAGAGCAAAACCACAAAGTAGTGTATGAAAATCGTAAACAGAAAGCTTCAGGAGAGTCTCAAAAACATTAGAAGTAGGTGCAAAGAGAGCCTTGAAGATGTAATGTGGTAGAACAAAGGGGAAAGAAGGTTCCATCAGTGAAAGTGTAGGAATGTTCGTTTGGAGATTTCTTCTCTGTTAAAGACTTGTTGGCAGCAGTCATTTGAGGGAGTTTTGTGTTTTTCTCCCCAAGAAAAAAGATTTAAAGCAGAGGGAAAGAAGCCATTGAAATAGGAAGAACTCTCTTTTGTGATTTATTTCATTCTTTATTAACACTGTAACTCCCTCCCTCTTATCCAAGTCAGACATCTCAGCCATTACCACGCTTATTAAGTTTTTTCTTTTCTTGTTGCTACTGCGCAAGTTGAAACCGTTGTAATTTCATTCGGAAGCTATTGTAAATTCCTGTCTTACTCTTCGCTCTCTGGTGTATGGTTCCGGGCCTTAAAAAATTAATCTTACTGAAACATTTTTATCAAAATGCCCTCAGAAATTTTCCTGACTCTCCCTGTTGTCCTAAGTACCTTTTAATTTTCAGAATTCCTTATGGTTTGGCAATGAACTCCCTTTCTGATGGTCTCTCATACCCAGAACCCCAGTCAAATGAGTATTCACCCCATTTCAAAACAATCTATTAGTGTCTCTCAAACCCCCTAACGTTTTATTTTTTTGTTTCAGTTTTTTTTCCCCCACATTGCTATGCCTTTAAGCATGCGCCTCTATAATCTGGAATAACTTCTGTATCAATATTAATCAGATAAGACTCATCTCCTTGGTCAGGACATTTCTGGCTGGAGGTAACAGTGCTTTTCAAATTCGAGGTCACAGCCCATTGATTTTGTCCCACTATTTAGTGGATTGTAACCAACACTTTTTTTTTCCCTGAAACAGACTAGTGTTAAATCTCGTGTTTAAATTTCTAGTTTCTGATATTTTAAATAGCCCTTCTTTATACACATCTTTTTACTTCTTTCTTCCTTAGTATATAGAACCAGAAGAAGAAATAAAGCCACAGAAAGAGAGAATGCTTTTTAAGACTTCGGGTACTTACTGCCCAGTTGTTCTCTAGAAAGTTTCCGCATTTATAGTTCCTCAGTGTTGTATAAAAACATGTGTCATTGTACTGTTGCCTTTATAGTGTATTCTCATTCTTTTGTCAGTTTAGGAGGAAAAAATGGAATCATTTTTTGCAGTGCCAAAGCCAGCATAGGGACCCATGTCTCACCTACATTTCACTTCCATTGCTTTTTGTTGATATTGCCTGTCTCCTTGCTCAGATATTCCTAGAGTCTGTTGATTGACCTTGTTAAGGTAATAGGCATACCCAGCAATTGATTTCTGCAGATAAGTAGAAATAAATTTATTTGAGCTTCTCTTTATAAGAGTTTAAATAATAAATGATTTGGAAATATACTCATGATGTTTAATATTTGATGTTTTTGTTTTTATGCTAAATCTTTGGCATATGCTTGGTTTTTGGTTATTTATTTGGACTACAGAAAAACACTCTATTTTTAATCAGTTTCTGTCAGTTTGGTTAATTCACGTTTATACTGTGGTATTATAAAAAGACAGTATGGCTGTCTTTTAATTATAAAACAAAACAGTCCTTTCAAAGAAATTTTTTTGTGTTATTTGTTAGACCGTTAGCAAGGCAATGTACTTCATATTTAAAAACTTTTTAAACCTGTGAACAAAATTTAATTTCCTTTTAAATATATACCATAACTTAATCAGTGTTTTCTATATGAAGAACTATTTAATGTGGTACTGGTTTTTCACAAATTCTCGATTAAACCTAATTTCTTCTAGGGTTGGTCTATCTAGTTCCCTATTCTTGTACTAATTAGTTCAAGCTGTCCTGAAAACAGAATTATTATCAAAGTTATTTTCTCAATGTAATTTTTATAATGATACTGAATTTCAGTATCAAGGAACTAAATAAAAACGTATTTATTCCATGAATATTGTGTGCATAGAATATATGTCCTTAGATAATAATTGGAAAGTCACAAAGATTATCAGATTGAATTTCAGTAGTTATTTTGTGAATTATTTTCACGTTATAATAAGTCTTTTTTTTTTAAGTTTTTGTTTGTTTTAAAGATTTTATTTACTTTGATAGAGGAGAAGGGAGGGTGAAGGGAAGAGAAACAGCAACGTGTGAGAGATACAGCGAACTGTTGCCTCTCGCACGCCCCCAGCTGGGGGCCTGGCCCACAACCCAGACGCCTGCCCCGACTGGGAAACAACTGGCGACCTTTTGGTTCGCAGGCCGGCGCTCAATCCACTGAGCCGCACCAGCCAGGGCTAATAAGTCTTGACTGAAAAATATTCTCATTCAGGAGTCATTATCTCTTTAATTGCTAATAACCATCTTCTGATTTTATTTAGATTAATTTAAAGTTTGGTATCAGAAAACCAGAAGCTCGGACAGGAACTGAGACCGATACCTGTACAGCGTGTGCAGGTACCTTGATCCTTGAGTTTGCTGCTTTAAGTCGATTCACAGGAGCAACAATATTTGAGGTTTGCTTTTCAAAGTCTTTGATCCCGTGGGTATTGGGCATAATTAACTTTATATCTTTTTTCCCATTGGTCAGTTATTAGGATTATCAGTCAGAGGATTACTGTTATTTTAGTGAACTGTTGTGTAAATTCCATTAGTTTTTGTCAGAAACATAGAAGTTGTTGAGAGGTAAATATATGAAATACAACTTTGCATTTTTTTCACAAACCATAAAATTTAGGTTTATTCTTAGTTTTTTTAGCCATATTGCTGTGAATTTGATAGCATAAATGTCTTACATGAAATACGATGTCTCCATGTTTTATTTGTCAGACTTTTAGTTGGTCTAATGCATTTCTGAAAACTTCGCTAAATCTAAAACATGAAATTTTTGCACTTAAGTCTTGATTGAGAGTCTTATCTTTGTTTACTTCAAGGGAAATGTTATTTATTATCCAAAAGACTTAATATCCCCCAAGTGGTGTACTGTGGACTAGCTATGTCTCACACTTTTTAAGAACATTTTATCTAATTTTTAAACTTGGCATTGGCGTGCAATATTAACACAGAACATCCTCTTTTTTAGTATGTGTGACAGGAGGCTTTTTAAAAATTCATCAAATGGTACACATAGAACAAGCAAAAAGAAGGAGTATGTGTCAGCTTTAGAGACATTGGATCTGAGTGTAAATAAAACAAATTGTGTGTGTATGTGCATATACAGTGTCTCACGGACAGATTTATCCTGTTTGGTTTAATTTTTATTCTATACCTTGTTAACTATTAAAAGACATTTTTGCGCAGTAATTTGAACTACAAACTCTCTGAGATACTGATGCATTTACGGATGAGGAAAGGGAGGCTCAAAGAGGGTAAGACGCACAGCCAGTGGGCGAATGAATGGAAGTGCAATTAGAATCCATGTCTATCTGAATTCAAAGCCCACGCTCTTTCCGCTAGTCTGTTTTGCATTCGTAAGTAAATCTGTTGAAAATCATGATTTTTTAAGCTTCTTGAATGGTCATTAAATTATTATAAGAGAAGCAGCCTGATGCCGTTGATACAGTGTCAGTGTAACGCAGGATTGGCAGACTCCAGTCTGCAGCCAAATTCAGCCAATGCCTGTTTCTGTGAATAAAATGTTATTGGAACGCAGCCAGGCTCATTTATTTATTTTTGTCTGTGGCTGCATTGGTGCTATAGTGGCACAGTTGAAAAATTCTGGCAGTGCCTAAAATACTTACTACCTGGCCCTTCTCAGAAAAAGTTTGACTTTTGGTCTAATCTGTAAAGAGATCTGAATACTCATATTAGTTGTCCTGTAATTTAGTTTTACACTTGGGTTAAATCTTTGATTTTACTAGGCCTCTTTTCTTAGCTCTAGGAGAGGAGTAGGAAAAAACAATCTTTATGAAGCTTTCCAGCTCTGAAATTATAGCATGTAATTAAAGTTGTAATCAGCCTTGTTTTAAAAAATCAGCATAAATAGTTTGAATCAAGAATTAAAAATCTGCAGAGTGACACATTGACTTGATGATTTCTTTCTTTTTTAGAACCTCTACAATGCTGTCAATTTATGCTCTTAATTTTAATGTATATACTTTCGTGTACATGCCCAAAACCAAGAATTTGATCAGAAATTATTTCAATTTAATGGATAAAAATAAATGAAAAAGAGAAAAGAAACTGTTATCATAAGGTTAAAAGTTTGGTTGTCAAATGAATATTAGTTGATTTATTGACCTTTCTCTAACAAAGAAGAGTTGTTGAAAAATGGGATCTTTGCCCTGGCTGGTTTGGCTCAGGAGATTGAGTGCCAGCCTGTGGATCGAAAGGTCACTGGTTCGTTTTCCAGCCAGGGCATGTGCCTGAGTTGCAGGCCAGGTCCCCAGCTGGGGGCATGCGAGAGGCAGCAGATCAGTGTATATCTCTTACACATTGCTGTTCCTCTCCCTCTCTTTCTACCTCCCTTCCCTCTCTCTAAACAAAACAAAACAAAACAAAACAAGTGGGATCTTAAATGCATGTTTGTGTTCAAAAATGGTATACAAACTTTCAAAGCTCCTCCTGTTTTCTAAATAAGAGTATCTAAGGGGATTTGTCACTTTGCATTTAAATGACAGAAATTATTTTATCAAGGGCATTTAATTATGCCTGCAATTAACATAATTTAATAACATGTGTGTGTGAATGTGAACTTGGACTGCAAGAGTAGATGAACCCAGATGGTTTCAAACTGGGATCATAGCCAATGAACAGCATCTTCAGAGTCATTCTTTTTAACTGGACTTTATTGGCTGAGAAAGAGCCAAGATTTGACTTGTAAGGAAATGTAACATATATTATTAATGGTTATCTTACAAATTTTAGTTAATGCTTAAAATATTCTATGGGCCTTTCATTTTTGTTTCTTTGTTTCCTGTTTGCCAGAGACATGAAGTTATTAAAGTATGCTCTTCCTTTTTTTTAATCGTAGGAATATGCAAGAAAAGCTCTTGATTTTCTCTGGGAAAAAAGACAGCGAAGTAGTAATTTAGTGGGTGTGACCATAAATATTCATACTGGAGACTGGGTACGAAAAGGTATGTAAGTCAGGCTTTTTTAAATCACGCCTTTACATCCTCCGAATGGTTGGGAAATAAAAGATTTTCATTTGTTAAAGTAATCTAAGGGACAGTATCAAACAGTATTTCTCACAAGATTGCTGGAATTATAACTAATTTAGCCTTTTTTTTTCCCTTGGTGTGCCAAACTTTTTCTAGACCACTTAGTGTTCTATTTCATACCTTAATGGGCATAGCATTATTGAAAGAGGGTATGGATGAAACGGTAGAACTAATGACTTTGAAGTCCTCAGTCAGCAGAATCCTCAGCCAACTCGCATGAAGGTATAAAGTGGAACTCTGTATTTAGCAATGTTATTACCAATTCTTATTAAAATGAATTCAGATCATGAGACAAAGCATATAAAAATGTTATGTGAGCAAACAGGATACAGGATTGTATAAAGAATGTGATTTTATCTTTATAAGATGCCTTATAAAACAAGCAGAGATGAATGGAAATATACTAGATATTCCTAGTGAGATTACCTTGCTTATGTGTTTTTCTATTTCCCAAAAGGCTTATGTTGTAACATATAAATAAAAAACTGCCTGTTATTAAATAAATTAAAAATATAATTATTAACGTGAACATATTTTAATTATTGTCTATTCAGTATTGTATACAATTTTTCTAAGTTTTATCTAAATGGTTTCTGAAACTAATCTGAATCGTGGCCTCAGAATTCTACAAACTTTTTTGCTTTCTTTCTTTTTTTTTTTTAACTTGCTTTGAAACTCAGGTGCAAATTAATCATAATTAATTTTAAATCAATTATAATTGTTGGCTTATGACACTCTTGTCATTGCCCATGCATGGCCCATTTTACTTACTCATTTTTCATATGTAACAAGCACCCACAAACAGAACCATCTATTACAGAAGCAACCCCGTTGACCACCTATTACTTTTGCATATAGTCCTTCACTCTTCCTACTTCTGCAGTTCTATTTTGACTTACTTATACCATCGTTATTAGTTCAGTGTGTCCCACCTTTTCTGTTTCTCTGATTCATTTGTTTTTAATTGAACTCTGTGTTTGCCTCCTCGTAAGATGTGAACTTGAGTGTGCTCTCCTCTCCCCTTGTCCCGCTGCCCCTTCCCCCAAAGGCCTCACCCCTCTCCCCCCGTATGTTGATTTATAGATACTGCATCTTTATTCGTTTTGAATACGTTTTCTCTTTTTCCTTTTGGTCTTGCTCCCTCTTTCGTTAAAGATAACAAACTTCACCAAGGTATTTGGTCACTTGTACCTTATATATTGCTTGTAACATCTCTTAGATTTGACTCTCTTCTTATTTAACTATTTATCTCAAACTTGTTTCGGTGGCTTTTAATAGTTTCTGAGGCCTTATATGCCTAACAGCAACTTTATTATGTGTTCATATTTGAGTGACAGTTTGCCTGGAATAATCTTACGTTCTTTCAGCACCTTAAAAATACAACTCTGTTGTTCTTCTTACATCCTGTTAAAAATCTCATATTATTCTGATTTTTATGCCTTTGTATACGATCTATTCTTTCTCTCTAGAAGATTAAGAGTACCAAAGCCAAAGAAAAGTTTCTAAAAATATTATAATTTTAAGTGTAGAATTTTCTTTTTCTTTTGGTATTTTCTGAACTTTTTCTATTTAAAATCTTTTTTTTAATTGCTGAAAAGTTGTTCCTTATTATTTAGATATTTTCTCCTTTTCATTTTGCTTTATCTCCCTTTTTGTAGTTTCTATTATGTAAATCACTTCTATTTCTACCCTCCATGTAAATTTATATATATATCTCATTTCCTGCCCTATTTTCCTTCAGGAAGAAGACTGCTGTGCTCATTCAGTTTGCTAACATATTCCTAAGCTTTATCTCCCATCTTTGATGTTATTTTAACTGTTATATTTTTATTCCATATATTTCTGCTCAATTAAAATTGCTTTTTCTTATTTTATATTGCTAATATCTTCCCTACCACTTCAATATGCCCATTAGAACCATTTAAATTTTTTGGCATGCCTGTTCTAAGTTTTCTGATAAACGCTTATTCTAGTATTTTCTTTTTCTTTTTAAAAAGTCATGCTTCTAAGTAAAATGACAACAAACTCACAACTATCAACAACTGAACCTAAAAAACAAACAAAAAAACCCCTTAAGCAAGCAACTAGAACAGGAACAGAATCACCGAAATGGAGATCACATGGAGGGTTATCAGTGGGGAGAGGGGAATAATGGGGGGGGGGAAGGTACAGGAAATAAGCATAATAGGTAGGCACAAAATAAGCAGGGGGAGGTTAAGAATAGTATAGGAAATGGAGAAGCCAAAGAACTGTATGACCCATGAACATGAACTAAGGGGGCGGGGAAGCTGGATGGTGGCAGGTGCAGGGAGGAGGAGGGTAAAGGGGAGAAAAAAATTGAGACAACTGTAATAGCATAATCAGTAAAATATACTTAAAAGTCATGCTGCTTAAATATTTTGGGCCAGTAAATTCATGTTTCCTTGTCACCTACTTTGTGGCAAGGTCATATTCCAATTCCTATCCAGCCCTGTAATTTTAGGGATGAATTCTAAGAAGTTTTAAAAAATGTCGGTGTCTGGAACCCTGGAGATTCTGATTTGGTTGCCCTGGAATGTGCCCTGGGTATAGGGATTTCTAAGATTGTAACTGCAATTAAAATTTAGATTGTAATTCACCAGCTGTAGGCATTTGGAGGGGAAAAGGTGGGGAGAGAGTGTCTAAAGGTGGTTCCGACTTCATTTGTTCAGTTGCTGCTGCAGGGCTTCTGATTCTGAATACCTGAATACCCGGGTATTCCTGAGAATACCCGGAGCAGAGATCTGAGCCGGAGCAGGTGTGGGGGGAGACTGTGTCTCAGGCCACGGTAGGAGAGAAGCAGGAGCAGAGCTGCAGCGCCGTCCCTGCTTTCTGACCCGTTGCTGCCATGCCTGGCTGCCTCCGCGCCAGGCCGGAGCATCCCTCTCCCCCGGCCCCGCCCCCAGCCACCCGGCTGCTTCGTTTTCTTGTTGGTTTCTCTCTTAGGACCTCTGTGATGACCTTGGGGGAAGAAGCCAACAATCAGTGCTAATTTTAGCAATTAGAACAGGCAATTCCAAATAGTAGTGCTCTTGTTTCAATACCTGTTACAACTTTAAAGATCGATGTCTTCCATATTAAGGGTCTGATCAAAAAAATGCATAATTAAGTGCTCCCTCTTTGGAATTCCTCACTGAGAAAATGAGCTTAAAGTTAGTATTTCCTGCTTTTAAATGAGAGCTTTGTAAGCAACTTTTCAAAGTAGCATTTTTAAATATATAAATTGTTAGCAAAGGAACTGTTACTCGTAGGGTTAATATTTCTGTAAATGTGTAATTTTTACTTAAAATAGTTTTATGTTTAGGCACATTTTTCATTCTTAGTGTACTAGTACCCTCACTTGTACTCTATAAAAGAATTTTTGCCTAGTTAAATAAAGACTCACATTTATATGTATTTCCCATAGACAGTGGAGTTGGAGCGGGCATTGATTCCTATTATGAATATCTATTGAAAGCCTATGTCTTGCTTGGAGATGACAGTTTTCTGGAAAGATTTAATACAGTAAGTGGATCCAATTTTGTATTAAGTCTGGAGCCAACTTCATTGAGTACCAGATTTTGATAGAAACCCAATTATCTGAGTGACATTCTGAAAATAATTATTTTTAAATATGCAGTGGGGTTCTTTTTTTGCCAGTATTTCCTGATAATGTGGGACAGGGACAGCGGAAAAGTGACATACATCCTAAAAATTAGTTTATAAAATAATTTTGTTTTCATCTCTTATCAGAAGGTTTCAAGATCTTCCAGTAAGTAATAAAATGTGTAGATTTCAGTTTTACCTAATATTTCGTACAAGGAGGAGAATTCATTGGAATAAGGTACTAGTTAGCTTTCTCCTTGGGTACTTTTTTTTTTTTGAAATCTTGGAAGTTTGGCATAGTCCTCGATCACATCAAGTATGCAGGGCTTTGGAAATTTGGAGACTCTACTGGGTATATATTTCAAAAGCAGGTCTGTAAGTCTTAAGTCTGGATCAGAGCCACAGGCATATTTTTAGGGGAGGAGGGAAGTATTCCCGAACTGGATTAGATCACCTTTGTCTGTAATTGAAAGAAATGGAAAATAAGAAGGCAATCTCCTCAGCTACATCACTGTTCTTTTTGAAACGATTTACCATTTCTTTGCCTACCGATCAGCTCACCCACATTACTATGAGACAGTATGGTATAGTGGTTAAAGGTATAGCAGTTTTCCTGCCTGCGTTTAAGTCCTGGTTGTATCACTGGTTTTGTGACTTTGGGCAAATAACTTTACACTGTTTGCCTCTGTTCCACCTCCACAAAATGTGAGTACTAGTACTATTTATAGAGTTTGGGGAGGATTAAATGAGTTAATGCATATGGAGTGATTAAGTAGTAGATGAGTTAGGAAGAAAAACTAGTCAGAGCACTAGTAAGTCAGTTGGATTATAACAAGACTTTCTTGAGGTGAATGAGGACAGATATTTTTTTTTTGGTTCATTATCCTTCATGGAGTCTAACAGCTCAAGTTGTTGTTACAGCTGAGGAATAACCAGGAGAAGGTAAAAGAAGGGGAAACAGAGTTTTTAGGAGCCTAAAAGGCAGACCCAGCAGTGGAGACTAGCGGCAGTAGTTTGAGTACTGATGAGCACCAGGATATTGTTAGCCACGGAGGGCCCAGAATTCCTGCACAGGGGGAAAGGCAACTAATTCTGTTAATCTAGAAGCCTGTAACGATATTTCAAGAGGCTATGAGAGCACCCTTGGGCCACAAGGGTGTACTGCCCACGGCTAATCCCACGGGCTAGCCATATGCAGGTCTACTTCCCCGGAAGGTCCTGTATGAACTGCAGTCCTTCATATTCTGCATCAGAGTTAAAGAACACAGGGGAGTACACACCATATATTTTAGAAAGATTTCCATCTAAAATAATTTAAATATTTACATAATAACGGTGTCACACATTTATGTATAGTATATGAACTCAGGTTTAATTTCTTTAGAGAGCTGTTTAAGGAAGCACTGTGTTTAGAATCGCTCACCTCTTTCTGTCTCCTTCCCTGAACGCACACTGGGACCCTTCAGCACTATGATGCCATCATGCGATACATCAGCCAGCCCCCGCTGCTCCTCGACGTGCACATCCACAAGCCGATGCTGAACGCGCGGACCTGGATGGATGCTTTGCTTGCCTTTTTCCCAGGCCTGCAGGTAAAAACACCCAAAACTCTGCTTTCCTAATATTAAAGTAAAACGATTGTGACTAAGTGCATTTGTGATCTCCGAAATTGAATTACCAGAGTCACATTTTAAAATTGTATCAAGCTACTTCCTCCTGTTTATAAAATGATTATAGATTTAAAAAAATCAGGTAATTTTGTTGTTATGTTGACTTCTAGGTCTTAAAGGGGGATATTAGACCTGCTATTGAAACTCATGAAATGTTATATCAGGTGATTAAAAAACACAATTTTCTACCAGAGGTAAGCAAATTATCTTTGGAATTCTAATTTACATATGCTATAAATTGCTAATTGAAAGATAGAAAATGTCCATCTTCAAGGCTGGCAGTTTTTTTCTATTTATTTTTTCTGCATTAAATAGTTCAGTTTATTTTTGGTTTACAGAGTATTGCATATGTTTTTTCTTTTCTTCGTGTATTCAGAAAAGTCTAGTTTATGGTGATTCTTATACTTTACTAATTTTATGTAAAAAAAAAAATCCTGAATTAGATTTTCTCAGCCTTTGCTAATCCATGACATCCATATTATTTTATTCTAACTTTTACATATACACATCAGGGAGACCTTTTTGCTTTTTATTTTCTAGTGGCTGCCATGACAAAGTAACCGCCTGAGCTAAAGCTGACCCATACTTTTTACTTTCTAAAGCTTATTTTATAAAAATGATGTACATTGAATATACTCTTGCTGATCACACATGCTCCCTGGAAATATGGGGAATGCTTAGTCTCCCTGGGTTTTGTACATTGCATCAGTAGTAAATATTCTTACTACCTTCAAATGGCAAGATTTTAATAGCATACTTTTTGGCTTTCCAGAAGGTACCATTAAAAGTCTCCAAATTCACGAGCGGCCTTTTCTGTCCCTGCTTTCTCACTGTCCTCTGTGGGAAAGCCAGGTGCTGCACCAAGTGCTTCACAGTGCTCCCAGGGGTTTGCTTTAGAATGTAGCATTTTATTGGCCTTCAGGCGAGGAGGGCTGAGCATTGTGGGAAGTTCCTTTTCCCTCAGAATAAACTAAGGCCTCAGCTAAATACATGTTATCACAAATGAAATTTTATTTGGTTCTCATAAGGGTTTTTGTTTGCCTTTAAATCACCTGGGTCTGTTACTGAATACATTTCAAGCGAGACTAGATTTATTTTTAAATAATGCCTTCCTTATTCCACAGAGGATTTGAGGTTATAAAAGTAAGCATAAGCAAAAACAGAACTATGAGGACTAAGGACTTAATTAAGAGAGGAAGTGAAGATAAGGAAAAAGAAGAAAACACAGTTATGTGGGACCCAAGTAGTATCATTACTCGGTTTCATAGTTTTTTCTAAGCTTCCGAGCAGCTGGAATGATTACTTAAATTTTGTTTAAGTGGTAATAATAGCCTTAGCAAAAATGAATTGTGATTTTAAGCAATGAAGATTTTTATTTTATAGAGGAAATTTTTTATCAGTGTTCTAATTATTTTTACATGTTTATGATCTAATTTATATACTACTATATAGTCTAGACCTAGTTTATTATGTTTTAATCATCTTTTTTTGCCTATTTGAATATTTTTTCTTTAGGCATTTACCACAGATTTCAGGGTACATTGGGCTCAACATCCTTTAAGACCAGAATTTGCAGAAAGTACCTACTTCCTGTATAAAGTAAGCTAGTTTACCTTCCTTTTTGCTCTTATGCCCCTCACCCCCCATTCTCTGTTGTATATTTCACTGTCTTGTAATAGGAGTTGGGTTTTCAAAGACCTTGTTCGGTGCTGTAATGGTTGACTATACCAGGGTTCTTATTCATCCAGCTCATAGAGTTACTGAAAGCTGCAAGAACTGACCCCTGAGTTTTATGCTTTGTCATGATATTCATGTAATCATTTCTTTAACGAGAAATTTTATATTTTAGAGCTGCTTTCTAAAGCATGTCTCTCATCTTCCTTTAATCAGAAAACCTTTTTGGGCATTAGAAACTTACTGTAAAGGCTAAGATATACATTTGGGTGGCTTTCCAATTGTGCGTTTAAGTAATTCCATAAAGCAGATTCCGTGGCTTATTTTCAGAGCTAGGTTCTATGTAACTTGTGTTCCAGTGCCTGATACAGTGCCTGGCACCTAGTAGGTACTCAATAAATATTTGATAAATGAATGTATGGTAATATATAAGCTATATATATATATGTATATATATTCTCCTTTTTAATAGGCTACAGGAGACCCTTACTACCTTGAAGTAGGGAAAACACTTATTGAAAATTTAAATAAATATGCTAGAGTGCCTTGCGGATTTGCTGCCATGAAGGATGTTCGTACTGGAAGTCATGAGGACAGGTAAAACATTCCCAAAAATATGACAGTTAGAATTTGGGCACGATTTAATCTTTTGCAAAGGGTATGTGAAGATGCAAACCTTAGTTTGTTGTTTTTATTCTTAAGACTCTCTTGAATAGGCTTATTTTAAATTGTTTGAAAAGTTTATTTTTATCATAGTGCCTGGCATATAGTAGATGCTCAAATGATTTTTAAAAAGAAGCATAAATGATTGTTAAATATCAGAACTTTGATATTAGGAGTATTAGGAATACTGAGGTTTTATATTTCCTTTGTTAATAGTTTCTTTATATTATATAAACTGTTAGCAATTATCAAGGTAATGATGGATAATCTGGATTATGATTTGTGTTCAGTCATGAATTCCTCAAAAACAGTATCGTGGTTAATGCTGTTTTCTTACTCTTTTGCTGATTTGGAGGGCTGGGAAAGATGATCAGCAGTTTCTGTTTCACTGCATGCTAGACAGATGAAGATGGCATGAATTACTCAAGACATAAAAAAATAAAAAGCACAGTTTTGTTAATGTGTTAGTCAGTAGCATTTCAGTTATTCCAAGAGCACTTATCTGGTTGTTTTAACTGTCCAGAACATAACAACGCACCTCTGAAAGAATAGTAATGCTTATTTGTTCGTTTGGTTAGCAAATGTTCACTCCACAAATATTTACCAAGGCATCGTATGTGCCAGACTTACACTAGTTTTTGAGGATTAATGATATGGAAACATGTCTTTTCTGTCATTGAATTGCTGAGGACAGGCAGATAAATGGGCTTTAAAACATTGTGTAAGTGCTGTGAAACGTATTAAAGGGACATGAAGTGCAAATTGAGATGTGGTAGTCACCTAAAGGTTTCTGGAAGACCCTGTGTCCTTCCTCAGAGTTGTCCTTGGTCCCTCACTCAGAGTGTTATGTAGTAGTTGTTAGTCCCGGAGCCTCCTTCCCTGCTCACAGCTGACGGATGAGAAATGGACGAGTTTCTGAAAGCAGGCGTACAGATAACGAACAGCAGGGAATGAGAGCAGGTGGCCTGTGCGTTCATCTGTAACGCCTACCGACTGCTTCCTGCGTTCTAGGCTCTCGTCTGTCTAAGCACTTTTGATGTTTACAACAACTTTCTGAAGTAGAATTTCTGTTATAATCTTCATTTTACACGTGAAGACACCAAGGCCCAGAGAGGTTAGGGAACTTGCCTCAGGTCACACAATTAGTAAGGCTGAGTCAGTTCTAATAAAGGCAGATTGGCCTTTGACTACAATGCTAATTAATCACTTACTGTATGCCAGGCACTGTCCTTGAACTTGAGGATGGAAAGGTAAATTAGAATCAGTCCCTGTCCTCTCATGACTTGTAGCCAGTGAAGAAAATAGGTGTGTAAAGAATTAATTACACATGTGATAGGTGCTGCAGGAGGAGGAGGAGGAGCAGGTTGAGGTATTACAGAGGGAGACATGATTTACTCTCTAGCGAGTTCCAATTTCCAAAACTTAATATATCCCCCCACCCCTGAATATTCCCTGTGTGACATTGTTTCTGGACCTCTTACCCCACTGCCTTTGCTACATTCTGATTATATTCCAGTACATACAATGTCTCTTAAAATTGCACGTCCAGAATTAACCACATTCAAGGTGTGCCTGCCACAACAGCGCTGTTACCGTCCGGGTCAGGCACGAGGCTGCCCGTCTTCTGAGGGGCCAGTGGGCTTATGCCCTCCATGCAGGTGAGGGCCGCTGCTTCCTCCACTCATGCGTGGCCGTGTGCCCCTCTCTGCCGCCTGTGGCCCAGGGAAGGCTTGCGAGCTATTGATCTTCATCATGTTGTGTTACGGGATGTGCTTTAGATTTTTAAGCAGCCTCATTATGTTCAGCTCCCAGTGAACTTGTGGCCAGTTGACCTCAGATGCTTAACTATGGCCTGGTGACAAATGGGTGTTTCTCACCCTGCTCTTGAGCAACTGGCTTTTTTTAGTGTAAACTTAAAATTTTATACTTATCCTAGCAAAATTACGTGGGTTTTCTTTCTCTTTTTTTTTTGATTTTTTGGAGTGTTTTTACATCAGAAAGAGAGCTTGAATCTCATCTCAGCCATGTAATATATTAGCTAAGCTTCCTGTTTTTAGTGATCTGCAGTTTAGATAAGTGTGCCTTAAAAAACCTCCACCTAAATTTTTGGGAAGAACGTTGGCTAGCGCCACGGCTTCACGGCGCGGCACTTGAGAGCCTTCCTTACAGGCCCTCCGCCTTGGCCGCCCCCTCCCCGGCACGTCTCCCCTGCCGTCCTCTGGCTCCCCAGTGTCCGCAGGCACAGTTTTCCAAGGGGCTGTATCTATTTTTTCCTAATAGTAGATGATCACTGGGAAGAATTTAAATGGTCAAAAGAGTATGAAAATCTTCCTTTCCTAAGACACTTCCCCCACTTGACCACCCTAAGATAACCACCATTGGAAATTTGATTAACAGTCTTATAGACATTTTTAATGCCTGTGTGTTTGCATGTGTATACATGTTTAGTGTGTTTTAATACAAATTAGATATATAAGATACCCAAGTCATATGTAGTGACCATACCATGTCTTTATTCTTTTCCAAGTGTTTCTCTCTGTTTCGTAATCAGTTCTAGAATTTGTTATAAATCAACATCCTGCTCATGACTCTGCAGATCCCGAGCTAGCCTTTGCTCATGATAAAAACTGTCCTTCAGAAAATGTTAAATCATCATAGCTTTGTTGCATAGGGAAGTATTTTATCTGTTCTGTAAAGATTTAACATCTAAAATGTTTGAAAAGATTTTGAAGCATGACAGATGAGTTATTTCAAAGTAAAACATCATTTTTATGTAGGGAAAATTACGATAGCTCGATTTTTGAGCTCATATATATATAATATGCCGGGTCCTATGCTAAATAATGGACATATAGTATCTCATTTAGTTTTTACATTAATGTTAGGTGGGTAATGATTATATTTTCTATAGAAGAATGTACCGAAGTTTACAGTTCTTATATGGTACCACCATGGTTACACAAGTAGTCAGTATAAGGTCTTTTCTATTTACAAAGCCCATGTTCTTTACCACTATGTTTCACAACCTCTCCAGTTCATTCTTTAGTAATGCTGTTTAAACTTGCATTCAATTTATTAAATGTCTATTGAGTGCCTACTGTGTGCCAGGAATTGTGCTTGGCCAGAGGTATGAAACTATGCAACCCGTCCAGCAAACTGCACATTATTTATCACTGTCAAAAACTAGGGTGCTTTGGGAGGTGGTCCTTTCATTAAGTTTCATATAACTGTAACTGCATCTAACAGCTGTGCTCTTCTTCTGACACTGTTAATTTTACTAAAGCTTTTAAAAATTGTTTATTAAAACATTATAACATTAAATAGTTTGTAATGTCATATATTTTTATCCCTCTTATTTTTCTGTATTCCCCTTGATAGGTATTTAAATATTTCCAAAGCTATACTCTATGTGATTTTGCGTTATACTTTTTTCATGCAACTTGTAAATAATTCCTTTACTTTTAAAGCCTTTTTGTTTATCACTTAAATGGCTGCCTTATAAAACTCGATCAAAATTACATTACTTCATCCCGTTCAGTTAATATTAATCAAAGATTATATGGCTCTTAGTAGTAACATTTATCTGTATTACCTCCCAACTATTGGTTCTTTATAGAAGAAATGGAACACTCTCCCTCATTGGAAGGTCAATAGGAAAATCTTGTCTCCAGTATTGGCAAGATTCAGTGTACCTGTGTGGTAGGCAGGCACACTGGTCTTTCTCATTTCTTTGGAAAATACTTGGCGTCCAGGATGTTAGCACCAGGGGAGAGGTACACGCTCTAGTTCGGTGGGTATCGGAGTTGGTATAGACAGATCGATTCACCTGGACTTGGGCTTTCTGGTAGTTGGCATTAGGATATTTTTATGTTCTTACATTTATCTATGACCCCTTATTTTAGAATGGATTCTTTCTTCTTGGCTGAAATGTTCAAATATCTTTACCTGTTATATGCGGATAAAGAAGATATTATTTTTGACATAGAAGATTACATATTCACCACAGAAGCTCATCTGTTACCCCTTTGGCTCTCTACTACAAATCAAAGCGCCTCTAAGAAGAACACAGTAGGTTATGTTTTTTAATCACATGTCTTATTCTGTATTTTACTTCTCTGTGTTTGTTTTATTTTTCCCAGTGCAAAGTAATCCATGACTAGAATTCAATAAATGTAGTATGGTAGGAGGAAAAGTACACTTGATGTTTTCTTATTTTGTTTTCTTGTATTGCATTCCTGTATACACTTACATTTTATTTAATGCATCTTTTGAACAAGCTATAATGTTAAGTAAAATATTTATATTCACATAACATTCTTTTATATTGTAGACTTCAGAGTATATAGAACTGGATGACAGTAATTTTGATTGGACTTGTCCAAATACTCAGATTCTCTTCCCTAATGATCCACTGTACGCGCAGAGCATTCGCGAGCCCTTGAAAAATGTGGTGGATAAGAGCTGTCCTAGAGGCATCATCAGAGTGTAAGATGTCTTATTCTATACTTCTTACTATCAAAGTTATTCTTAGTAAATGACAGAGCAAATAAGGGATATATAAGGGTGGATCACTTAGACCAAAAATACTGAGGTATGTAGTTATCGCTGATTAAAATAAAAACTATTAGTAAAGTTAAATAGCAGAGTTTATTCTGCAGTGCCTTTTATTATTATGAACATTTTCTATCTATTTCGATGAATGAACTTAATAGTCAGTGGGTAGCATATAATTTCAACTTGCATAGCTCATTTTTATACGGAATAGTTTCATCAAATATTTCACATCTTTTGTATATGTAGAAAATAGTTTTCCTTTTACCTGTAGTTTTTGTGTAATTCAAATATAGTTTTTCTTTTGTTTGATTTTATTTTTTGACGAGGGACTTATTCTTAGTCGTTAAATTAAGATTTTGGCCTTCATGAGGTCATTTTCTTTCAAGCACTTTAGGCCATTAATAGGAAAAGAAAAATAAAAATTTTAAGTGAATTTTATCATTCATTGATACAACTATTCTTTTTCTTTTAAAATATGGGGAGAAAAATCTGTTTCTTTAAGGAAGAAATCAGTATTAACAAATCCCAAGGCCAACTCGCTCTATGCCTTCAAATGGTTATAATTCTCTTGACTAATACTACCTTATGGGTGATATACATGGTTTTGCAACTGTAAAATAATTATATGTGAAAGCTGCATCACTTACTGTTACCCTAAGGTATATACAGGCAAATGTCTGTTTCCTGTTTGTCCATTTTCACTGCTTCTAAAATTAGCAATTTTGCAAGTATCTAACATTTTTATTTGCTTTATGTTTTCCCTCAGTTCTGATTTGTAGTTTTTTAAGCCTTGCCTATAATTGCTTTTAGCAGAGAGGAGAGTTTCAGGAGTGGAGCTAAACCCCCTCTGAGAGCCAGAGATTTCATGGCCACTAACCCCGAGCATTTAGAAATCTTGAAGAAGATGGGGGTGAGTTTGATTCACCTGAAAGATGGGCGAGTCCAGTTGGTTCAACACGCAATCCAAGTAAGACATTGCTGTACTAATTAGATTCAACTCTGCTGCTTTTGGTCTCTTTAGCTTTAACAAGATAATGACATTTGATTTTTAAAAACCTTTTAATGTATGGGTTAAAGTTAGACACCCAGAATTTTAGGACTTGAAAATACATTGGGAAGCCATCTAATTCAACCCCTTCATAGCATGTATGGTTCAATTAAATCTCTAATAGGTTGGGTAATTTGCGTAAGTTAGTAGTCAAATATAGGACTCATGTCTAAGTTCTCTGTTTCTCAGTCCCTTGTCTGTCCATTATTTTTATTTACAGCATAATCTTAAAAAGTAATAAATTTTAATAGTTATATCTATATTTTACATTATTTTAGTTTCCAAAGAGCCACTGAATCTAAGTATTTTATTCACTATAGAAATCAAAATTTGCATTCATTTGTCTATGCATTTAAAAAGGTAACATCTTTTGGGGAAATTTTTATTGACTTTTGCTTTAAAAGTGTTCATAACATGAGGTCTTTAAATTATTCACCTTATTAGTATATTAACTCTGAGAAAACTACATAGTTTGCTAAATGATTTCAACTAGAACCATAATCAGGTATCCTTAAATCTCACATTCAAACTTCCCACAGCCTCTCCTCCCCCTCAGATCTCTCTCCTCTCCGTTCTTGCCACATCTATCCTTTCTTAAAGAACATTCTGCCTGCTTCCTTGTGTCACTCGCCCTCTCGCTCCTGAGCAGTGGGAGTAGCATCTCTAATGACATTTAGGCCACCAACGACATAATTGCCAGCCAGTGGCCCCTGATCCGTATGCGACTGAACTGTTCTGCAAGTGTTGACCGACCCTTTCTACAACACGCCCTCTCCTTGGCCTCCAGGAAATCCGGGTAGCACACAGCTTTCCCCTTCTCCGTCCGTGCATGTCTGGCGCTCTCTCGGCACAGCCAGGGAGCCTGGGTCTGCTGTTCCCTCCCTGTACTCTTCTTCAGCACTCTCATCTGTTCCTACAGTTCAGCTGTGGTCTTGGTGCGCTTGATTTCTTAGTTATTCCTAACCACCCTGATTCCTAAGTTTACTCTGAAACCCAGCTTCAATCTCCCTGCTGTATGTTTATGCATCTCAGCCTCACCCTGTGCAGACGTGAATTCTCAGTTCCTGCCCCTCCGCAGTCCATCTCTCCTCCTCTGTGTCTCCATCTCAGTAAACATGCCACCCTCCTCTGAGTCACCAAAACACGACACCTCAGGGTAGGCGTCAGCCCCTCTGTCTCCCAGCTTCTCTCTTGCCTCCTCTTTCCTCTCCTCTCACGCCCCCTGACTTTCCTTGTAAAGGGGCAGGAATCTATCTTTTTTTCTACTATAGTCAGGCATTCTTCAGGTTTTCCTCTGTGAAGACTCCATTCAGATGCCATTCTGAGTATTTCTCAGATCCACATTGGCAGAATTGGTCATTTCCTTGTCTACTTTCCCACTTGAAAAATTTAACATGGCAAATTTTTCATGTCTCTCTCCTCTAGATATAAACTTTTTAAAGTTAAAGATTGTTTCCCCAGTGTCCAGTCAAGTGCTGGACTAGAGTAGTTGCATGATAAATATGCTTTGAATTTAATCTGGTTGTTGGATCATAATTTCAAGGAAAGGAAGTATGGATCGGGTATGAGGTTTATTTCTTGAAAGGGAAGACAGTGGCAAAAGCAAGCAAAATGAGCATTTGATCATTGGGTGGAAGTCCAATTCTCAATTTTTATCAAAAGTGGTTTATAAAGCAGTAAAAGATATTGGTAAAACAGATGTAATTTTCAGAAAATATTTCTAGAAGTAATATTTTTTAGGGTGAATTGGGTCCATAAATATTTAGTAGGGACCAAACTGAAAGGAAAAAAGGAGTAGAAGATTGTAGTGCAATAGTGTTTAAGAAATCAAAAAGTTGAATGTTTCCCCCCCAAAAAAAATAAATAAAGAGAGTTGAAAGTTTCCAGAAAGGATACACAGCGAGGTGTCTCTCCTAGGCCGCCAGCTCCATTGACGCGGAAGACGGGCTGAGGTTCATGCAGGAGATGATCGAGCTGTCGAGCCAGCAGCAGAAGGAACAGCAGCTGCCCCCGCGAGCCGTGCAGATCGTGTCCCACCCGTTCTTCGGCCGAGTCGTGCTGACAGCCGGGCCGGCGCAGTTCGGCCTGGACCTGTCCAAACACAAAGAGGTGTGTGCGCGCACAACGCGCTCGTGAAGTTGAGTTAAGACTATTGGTTAAATATTGTCTAGCTCCTTGGTCTCTTTTCTAACCTTGTAGCTTTAGTTAAAAAACCTAAATCTTCCATATCCCAGAATAAAATAAAGTTAAAACATATTTTGAAATTTCTGAGTCATAATGAGTCATAAGTGTATACAGTAAGTGTACAGAATTTACTTAAAATGTTCTGATACTGTCCAATTCTCAGTCTTTTCTCTAAATTAGCACCTTTAATTATCTAAAGTGGTGTTTAGGGTTTTTTTGTTTTTTTTTTTAACAATTGCTAGAGCCTTTCTTTGGACAAAACCCTGACTCGGAGGCTTGATGCCGAGGTGCTCAGGTGAGTGGAGAGTGTCAGGAGCTGAGGTTCTACTGAGCCAAGTTGGAAGACCGCTCAGCTACCTCACCACCCTAGTTTGAACATAGGCAACAAAGACCTAAATGGTTGAACAGTTCACAGTTTCATCAAGCTAATTGGTGCAGAGCTGGAACCAGAACCCAAGTATCCTGATAATCTAACGACTTGCTTTTTGAACTCTGTTACCTCTAATTTAGACAAATTCCAGTGTGTATTTTAAAGCTAGGTAGGTTTATGTTGATTTATCCATTCAGCAACTCTTTACTGAGTTGCTACTATATCTAGGCACTATTTTAGATGTTTACCGTCTATCAAGTTTTCAAAACCTGTGGAGATCCGTGTCCTCCCTCATCAAATCTACATTCTAGAGCAGCGATTTTCAACTGGTTGCTGCAAGAATTTTTAAAACATACAATCAATACCTGACTGTTTGGTCAGGGGCACTGACCTCTCTTCCCTTGGATTGTCAAATAAAAAAATGACAGTGACAATAGCCAACACAAACAAAAGCTATCCAGGGTGAATGAATCAAAATTATACCTAATTTTTTGTCAGATCAGCAAAAACATGTATTTTTTGATGTGCCTCAGAATTTTAGGAATTAATGTGTGCCATGAGATGAAAAAGGTTGAAAATTGCTCTTCTAGAGGAATATTAAAACATTTTTACACTAACACCTTTGAAATCAGTCTTCTGTGTTGGCATGGACATGTTGTAAATCTGCCTATAGGTTCCAACTTTACCACTTACTAACATTGTGTCTTAGAGCAAAGTATGTAACCTGAGTCTCAGTTGCCTCATATGTAAAATTAGATATTATCTGTATCATTTCATGCCGGGTAGTTAATAATTTATGTGAAATGCCTTATAAACTTCAAAACACAATAGAAACATTGGTTGCGTACTATGATATGCAAAATGTTCAAAACAAAAGTTTATGCTAAATGTATATGGGACATGATATCATTTGTGAAAAAATGAGGCCTACCTAAAGCTCTAGATATTGAACTTTTTAAATGACCAGTGATTTGAGAAGATAAAAAAATATTTGTCCATTTTATCTCTGACAGACAAGAGGATTTGTTGCAAGCAGTAAACCATACAATGGTTGTTCAGAGCTTACTAACCCTGAGGCAGTGATGGGAAAAATTGCTCTGATACAAAGAGGACAGTGCATGTTTGCAGAAAAGGCTCGCAACATCCAGAACGCCGGGGCCATCGGCGGCATTGTTATCGGTAAGTCATCCTCCGCATCACCATCCTTCTCTTGACGAGAAGGAAGTAGTTTTTAGGATATTTCCTTCTGTTTTCCAAAATCATACTAAAAAGTTTGTCATATTTTTGCTTCACTAGATGGCACAGTGACTAGGTAATCCAGTGGCTCTCTCAGTAATTTCTATAGGTCTTATATCTTTTTTGAAAGTTCTTGGGGACAGGTGTGAAGGTGGGTAGAGGGGAGTGGTAAAAATACCCAACATCAGGGATAAGAAAATGTTTCCCCAAGCTCCAGAGCCCCCCAAGGGCAAGACTTACATCCTGCCACCTCCAGTGGGAGCCATGGGAGATACCCATTCTGCCACAAAGATTTAGTCTTTGGAGTCAGACGGATGGTGGGGCCCCTCCCAGTCCTGCCACGGAATCGTGTTGTCGCCTTGGCCCGCCTTTAGTTTATCCGTTTATTCAGAATATTTTTCGGGCTCCAGTGAACATGGTAATAAATATCTTTTAGGGGGTTATAAGGTTTGAAGATGATATATAAAATTTCTTACCATAATAACTGACATATCATAGGTATAAGCGCTAGTTGCTAGTAAATTTTTATCTCCTTGGGTCTTTTTCTGCTGAAATTACAAACTTCAAATCATTTCACTCATGTGTTTTAACCAGAGTGCTTTAATTTTATTTTTCATAGAAAATCACTTTTATCATGACCAGCAGGGAAAGTAGAAATTTTTCTATGCTTTAAGCAGGGAGGAGTTTACAGTTAGAAAGAACTAAGACCTGACATTACATCCTAATTGCAGATTTGGCTCTTTTGCATAGCTTCTCTCACAGGGGAAATCCATTTTGAATTTTTTTTGGTTTGAGATAGATTTCCTTTTTGAATTTAGGGTAAATTGAAGTTATGACATTTAAAACATGAGGATTTATTTCAGCGAAAATGTATTTACTACTCCTTTTGCTTATCACATATGGATACTCCCATGTTGGTAATTTCATGAATGCATAAATGTCAGTAGTCAAGCAAGTATTAGGAGAATTCTGCTTCATAACTTAAATCGGTGGTTGACAAACGACAGCCTGCGGGCCAGCGCTGGCTCACTGCCTGCTTCTGAGAGGAAGGTGTGTTGGAACACACCATGCCCGTGGGTGTACGTCATGTCTGTGACTGCTTTCGTGCCACAGCGCTGGGGCGGCTGCAGCAGAGAACTGAAGAGAAGCCTCAAATACTCACCGTCTGACAGACTACATGAAACGTTTGCTGGTGCCTGACCTAATTCATTCTCTTATCCTTGGCTGTTTTCCACACTGAGATTTTTTTACTGAGGAATTTAATAGCTTGACAACACGATCATTTTGAACATCTCTTCCTGAGAGTAAAACTGTATTAAAAATAAAGTCTGGAACATATGTAGAAGGTTTTTGAGTTCCCCTATTTTGGCTCTAATTCTCACATATTCTCTGTAAGGTTTGTCAAGTCAAACATTTTTTATTAATTACAGAATCCTATACTGAATTCTGTGAGTAAATAAGAGTCAGTGATCCTTATTCTCAGAAAATTTAATTTTTGAAGGGGAACTTTCTTGTATTGTAACTTCTTTTCTCTAAGTATTTTTTTGTTTCTGATAAGGTATTTTGTTTGGTTTTTAGTGGTTTTAATTGTATATAAATGAGCAAATTAAGGCTTGTTTTTTATTGCAAGTACCAGAAGTGCGAATTATCTTAGAAATCATCTGGCTGCAAGAATCAATTTATTTAAGCTGGTTTAGGAAGAGAGGTTTGTTTACAATTTAGATTTCAATTTTCATTGAACCCAAGAGTAAGAAATGGAATTAAACATTCTAACGAAGTGGAATTGGGCACTACAAATCATCAGGAACCATGGGAGCTCATGTTTTTCCCATGTCTGTCTGTATCTCTGGGTCCTCGCTGTGACACAGGGGCAGAACTCTGCGTCTGCGTCTCTTTGCAGTTCTGCTTTATCCTCCAGCTTCTCACCAGCCTGCTCCCTCTGCTCGTCAGTCCCCAAATTGCCATTCCCTCTGCCAGCCGGAACAGCCTTTCTCCGTGGCACTTGCCTGTCCCCTGGAGAGACTGAGGGCCAGGAGCCATCCTTTGTCTAATCAGTGATTGCTAATCACAGATCGCTAACGGGTGGATCCTACATGATGTTTTCCACTTAGGAGGGACTATCACAGCAAGCCCTCTGAGAAGGGACAGGCAGGTTCTCCAGGGAGACTGGCACGTGAGATTAAGGGTGGACATGACTGGTGTCACCAGTAAAACAGTATTTAGTGCCCTGGCTGGTGTGGCTCAGTGGATTGAGCACCAGCCTGTGAACCAAAAGGTCTCCAGTTCAATTCCCAGTCAGGGCACATGCCTGGGTTGCGGGCCAACTTCCTGGTTGGGGGGCGTGTGAGGGGCAACCACACATTGATGTTTCTCTCTCTCTCTCTCTCCCTCCTTCCCCTCTCTCTGAAAATAAATAAATAAAATCTTAAAAATAGAAAACAAAAAAAAAAACCACAGTATTTAGATGTCCTACTACTATTTTTTTTTTCAAAGATTTATTTTCAGACACAGGGGAAGGGAGGGAGAAAGAGGGAGAGGAACATTGATGTGAGAGAGAAACATCTCTCCGTTGCCTCTCATATGTGCCCCATCTGGGGATGAACCTGCAGCCCAGGCATGTGCCCTGACTGGGAGTCAGGCAGTGACCCTTGACTCTGCGGGACAACGCCCAGCCAGCTGAGCCACACCAGGCCCGGCCCACTGCTCTCAGGCGGTGCGAGATGACACAGGGGCGTCATCCTGCTTACACAGGTAAAGCCTCTGGAGTCATAATTATCCTTTGTGAATGGTATTTAAAAAACAGTTATCAATTTGGAATTTTGTAAAAATACTATGCCATTAGAGGAAATCTTAAAAAATAAAATTTCATTCATAGTTCTATCTTTGTCATCCAACCAAGTCTTTGAATTTTTCCATTTCTAGTCTTTTCATCAGCATATGAAATTTTTACAGTCATAATCGTAGACTTTGATGTTCTACTTTTTTCATGTAATATTTTGTTTTTCTGTGTTCCATCAAGTAGTTCACTATAATGTATGTATAACAGTTGACAGTTCTTCACAAGTATAGACAGCAGGCACTTGAGTAACCTTCTGTGGGCATAGGTCATCTTGCTGCTTTCGAATTATTTTCTTAGGATAGATTCCCAGGAATAGCATGAGTGAGCCCACAGCGTGTTCCCATGGCCCTGGGCGCACCGGGTGTGTGCTGCCGGGGCACGGGGCAGTGGCGCTGGCGGGGAGAGCTTTCTGACGGACGACTGTTTCCACTGAGCTTGCTGTCTTCATTTTCCTGGCTAGATGACAATGAGGGGAGCAGCAGTGACACGGCCCCTCTGTTCCAGATGGCAGGGGATGGAAAGGACACAGATGACATCAAGATCCCCATGCTGTTCTTATTCAGCAAAGAAGGAAGTATCATATTGGATGCTATCCGGGAGTATGAGGAGGTGGAAGTGCTTCTTTCTGACAAAGCAAAAGATCGAGGTGAGCGTAGAGTCATTCCTTTTCTTAATGCAGTTTAACGTTAATTTGATTAGTTTTGTAACACAAGTGAGTGACAAAAGCTTATATTTGGCTTCCTGGTAAAATAAGTACAGTTTTTAGAAGATGGTTTCAAAATACATTATTCATTTGGAAATAAGAGTAATAATATTTATTTGGCTTTGTTTGCCAACTCAGGATGTTTTTAGAATTCTATTTTAATGTCTAATTTGTCATTTTTGCTTTGATTCTGCCTGGTGATAAAAATACAAGAGATTACCTCAGTAGAGGCATTTTACCATCCACGGACGTTCACCATTCAGTTTCACTGATAGTGCACCTTACATTTCTTTTATAAGGAGTAAAAAGGTTGTATAGAACGGTGCTGTCTACAGTATAATAGAAATTGGCGGCCTGTAACCAAATGACCACTGTCGTGGTGGAGGCAGCAGAAAGCCAGCGGCTCCTCTCCGCCGAGGTCTGGTCGTAGGTGACCGGAGTCGCCAGTGGCTGCTGTCTGAAGAGCGAGACAGCCGGCCGTACTCAGGCGGGCGCATCGTCCTCTCTAGGCCGCAGTGTGTGTGAGGAATTTGAAAGATCTTCGAAACCCAAATTACTGGGTAAATGCAAGGTCTTACTAGTAGTTTTTGGTAGTTCCGCCCCCAGGAACAGGGGAGACACGAGGGAAAGTGGACCGCCAGACACGGACTGCGCCCCCGCCCCCCGCCCCCGCAGCAGTCCGTGCGACCCAGCAGAGACGCCTGCGAGAGGGCGGTGCTTCCCCTCCCTCCGAAGTGGGTAGAGGCGTGTAATCTGTGCAGGGCGGGTGAATCCCGTGGGAGGTTTGTTTGACAGATATGTAGGAAACTGATTCAGTTCATTGTAACTTCCAAGTGGAACAGTAAAAAAAAGAAAAAACGAAAGTTTAGCAATAATCCGTTGCTATCCGAACCAGTGTTTTGTCTTGACTTTCTGTATTGCTTTATTCTTCTCTAAGAGCCTTTCAAATGTCAGCTGTTTAAGATCAGTGGAATGAATAGGATATATGTATGTAAGGATATTATACATGGAAACAGAATAGAAAAGATTTCTAATCTTCTTTAATCCTCCTATGTACCTGATGTTTGTTATGAGCCCTTTTTCTAAACTCAAATCTTATTTCCTGCATGTGTACATTTAGGCACATCAAACAGGCAAATTATTATTCCATATAATTCTTTAATGCCTTTGCTTTTCCCCTCCTATTTTGTGCTACCATTGGAATTTCAGCAGCAATATTAAAAGGTAAAATGATTCCAAGCTACATTATTAATAGTAGTAAGTATCTCACATTAATAAGCCTTAAATTATTATATGTATGTGTATATGTGTATAAATATGCATACATATATATGCACATGTACATGTACATATATATATAATTTTGTTTCAGCAGATACCATGATAGTATCTGGTTTTATGTAATCAGATTATTTTCATGACTAGTCAGGTGTGCTGTAATAATTCTTTATCGATCCTGTTAAAACAAATCCTCTATATTAAATATCCCATATAATAGGAATTCACTAGTCAGTGTTCATGCAAGAGTCACTAACAAAGATGTTGTTTTGGCATGTATTACTTTGATCACTGTTTATTTGAACCAGTGTAAAATATTTAAAATATTGACTTGTTTTAAAACCGCCTATGTCTGTAAGAGTGCATGGGGTTAGGACTATGAGATTATGTAAAAGCGTGTGCTTCCTATACCAGAGACAGGGTATAAAGAAGACATAAATTTTACTACCAAAAAAAGTGACCTGAATAGTGTTCCTTTAAGACCCTGGTAGTAAAGGGCCTTTATTTAAACTATAGTATATATTTTAAAGTTTTGCTGGTCTATAAATTTATTGAACTGTGATTCTGTAGTAGAGTGATCTTTTGACCAAAAGTTTTTAAAAACTCGCTTTTGTGTAGCTATTTCAAGAACCGTAGAGCTATAGTAACTAAATCAGCAACAGGTTACAGTATAATTGTTAATATTTATCAATGTAAAAAAATCAGTGGTAATAGTTTTATGAAACCAAGTGCTTTATTCAGTCAGGAAAATGTACTAAGACGTTACGGTCTGCAGGGGTCCCTGTTAACTGGTCCTGCATTGCTGTGCGCACCCTGTCTCTCTCCCGCGTCGAAGTCAGCGGGTGTGCTTGTTACGCAGGTAGATTCCTGAGTCCGACTACAGCCTGTTGACCCAGACTCTCTGAAGGCACAGGGTCAGAACTGAAGCTTTACACAAGCCTCCCAGGTCATTGCACACTTTGAGAAACACTGACCAAGACCCGGAAGGCAGCCCCTTTTATCTCCCAGCTGTGTATCCGGGCATGCTGTACCAGCGAGGGTGCTCGGTAGGGTTGTAAGCGCACCACGTAACGGCACCCTTACAACCGGCACCACGAAGTGCCCTCCAGACTGCCCTTTGCAAAACCCTCACTCCTCCAATACATACTCCCCTGAGGAGGTCACACAGTTTTGATTGAGCAGCTCTTCCCACAGAGTAACACAGAAGTAGGAGCCCCAGCACAAGCCCCCACTCCCACCTTGCTATTCTGATGCTGAGGCCCAGGCTGCAGCGTGGAAACACCTGCGCTCTGCCCACAGGGGAGCGGCTGTCTCGCGACCGCTGTCCCCTCTGACCTGCAGTTCCACCCTCCACGGCCCCAGTTACCTGTGCTCAGCCACAGTCCAAAAACACTAAATGGAAGATTTCAGAAATGAACGAGGGACAGGTTTTAAATGGCCTGCTGTTCTGAATGTGAGTCACTAGCATATTTGTGCTGTCTACACTCCCCACCCATTAGTCACTTAGTAGCCAGGTTAGTTACTAGGTATTTTGAGAGCAAGAAACCACATTCAAGTAACTTTTATTACAGTATATTGTTATAATTGTTCTATTTAATTATTAGTTATTGTTGTTAATCTCTTACTGCGCCTAATTTATAAAGTAAACTTTATTGTCGGTATGTATGTACAGGAAAAATGCATAGCACATACAGGGTTTGGTACCATCCTTGGTTTCAAGCACCCACTAGTGGTCCTGGAATGTATCCTTTGTACATAACAATGCTCTACTGTACACATTCTTCTTCAGAAGCAAAGAATAAGTCATTTATCAAGGGGAACTGTTGCATCTTCATATCTAACCAGCCACACTTCTAAAACGTTGTTATCCACAGGAATTTTAATACTATAGCTTTCATGTGTCCCATCTTCCCTAAATGTGCAGTTTAGAAATGTACTTAATGCTAATTCTAATCCCGTGCCTGTGAACAAAGGACACTGTTTTTACCTTTAGCTCTAAGCTGAAACAGTTTACAATTAAGAATCAGTTTCCTTTTCTCAATATTATTTCTCAAGGGGAGAAAGAAGTCAGTGTCTCAGTACATTTTCATGCTTGCAGTTTGCAGGGTGGGCCCTCGGGGCCACAGGAGCTGCAGGCAGGTGTTTCCAGGGCTGCTCCTGCGTTTGCGTCGTCTGATGCGAGGCAGACAGGGACATGGCGGGAGAAGAGACTGGTGCCCGGGTCTGCTCTGGCGGTGTCACCTGCCCTCAGATTCTGCCCCCTGAAGTTGGTGGGGGTGCATGGGACCCAAAGCTGAACTGTAGAAGTTAGGTTGCTGCTGCAGAAGATTAGACTCGGAGGGGAAAAGTCCAGTGTGTGCGCAGATGGCCTTATTGCCAGGAAAGTAGCACCCAGATCCTTCTTGTTAGCAGAAGTCCCCTCGCTCTTTCTGGAAATGCCTTCTTAATCCCTTAAAGCCCTTGGTTCTTTTTCTCTAGGAGAACATTTAGCCATTCCGAATGCAGTTTCCTGCCATCTTCTTTACAAGATGCTCTCATTCTCATTGGTAAAATTGAACGGTGCCTATTTGATAGAGCTCCTACTTTGACATTTGTATTACATTGTGCTTTTCCACCTGCTTCTCATCTCTGGCTTCCTTGCTTTCAGTAAAAGCTGGTTGTGGAGGTGAATGAATGATTATGGAAGATCGGTCTCCACGGCTTTGCCCAAGGTTCCCTTGGCCTTTCATTATCAAAACTTCGTTTCCTTTTCTCTGCATCTGGAGACTTGCTTTATTCCTCCTTTGCCGCCTGTGTTTCTGGTACACCGTTCCTGACTTAACAGAGTAGTCGCTGTGCTCCTAGGACTGTGGAACTCCGTGCCGGTGACAACAGGCACCAGAGAAGGAAGTCGTGTGGCAGCGCCTGTCTCACCTTCCTTCCTCTCCAAGTGCAGCCTTTCCCTTCCTGCTTGCTGCCTCTTTGCTGCCTGTCAAATATTCGTATACACTTCGTCTGTGGCTGGACTGCCTCTTTTTCCCCCCTGATTTGTTTCTTCCTGTGCCAATAATAGAACATGGCGCGGTTTTGAAAAAATTCAAGTATTTGATAAGGCAGCTCCTCTAATTCTTTACAGAATTTCTTGATTTCCCTTTGATGTGTATTCTTCCAGAGGAATTTAAAAATAACTCTATCTGGTCCCAAAAGTAAACAAAAATAAGTAGAAATGGGATTTATTTTAGAATGCAAGCTTTACATATAAATGGGAAAATTTTGTTAAATGTTAAGACTTTCCATCTAGGAACGTACACTTGTAAATGTAATCAGATCTTGTTTTATATTTTCATTAAGATTTTATAGTAATAAGCAATATGGCTGTTGTATCTTTTGTAATAAATTCAATTCCATGTCTTATAGCTTTTGTTTTTATTATGAAAAGGGTACTTAATTTTATTTCTAACCAGTACTGCTACTATAGAGGGGTTATTGGTGTATGCCTTTTTATTTTATTTTTACCTTCCTTATAAAATTTTCTGATCTTAATAGTGTTTTTAAAAATTAAGAGTTGTCTTGAGCTTAAATACATAACATAATCAGAAAATAAAGTCAATTTGATCTTTCCTTTTTCTATATTTATACCGACTTTTAAGTTATCCTATTGTATTAGCTAGATTTCTAAAATAATGTCATATAATAGGTTACCCCTAGGGTGAATTTTTTTTTTTTTTTTTTTTTTGGCCTAAGTACAGTCTTGACTACTAGATGAAATAGCACTACGCCTGTTCTGTACTTCTAAATTAGATGAATGCAATCTAGAAAGAAACTTGAAGGTTTTTATTTGTCGTTGTTCTCCTTTGAATTCAGCACACCCGGGTATCAGTGAGCTGTAAGCGGCCAGCTGCCTGCTTTCTCGTCTTTGGGTCCCAAAATGGTTTCCCTACTTGTCTCACTAAAATGTACCTTTTCCACAGCTTCTGAGAGGAGAGAATATGTGGGCACCCCTCGTTCCCCTTACTTTCCCTCCCCCAACACATACACCCTGAGAACTTAAACTTCCCTAGTCAGCTAGTCCTGCCTGATGTGGGGGCGGCACATACATGCACCCCCTCCCCCGCACCTCCCTGCACGCCTGTATTTCCTTCACTTTTTCTGGTTTTAGAGTAGGCCCATCTCCCCTCCCGTCTGACTGATTACCTCCGGTCATCTTTTAAATCTCAGTTTAAGTGTCTGTTTCTGAGGAACCCTCCACTCTCCTTACTATTCTTTTCTAACCCCAGAACACTGTCACAGAGCCCTCTGTTTGTTTTGTGATCCTTTGTCAATGTCGTTTTCTCCAGCTGGGCTACAGACCCAGAGAGGCAGGTCTGGTGTTTGTTTTTGCCTCGTTTGAATCCCAAATACCCCACAGTGGACACTCAAGTGATGTTTGCGGACTGACTCAGAGACTGTAGAGGATGCAGCATGTGGGCGTGGATGCTTGGGAAGCACTTTCTTGTTGGAACTGTGCATAAAATGCCTCTAGTGGTTTTATTGTACACTCCTTATAAGAGGGTTTAACTTACTATTCAGCCTTTCAGCGGGTTTTTGAATGATTATAGCTAATAATTCATAGACCAACAGTAATGAAATAGTTTTATAAATAATCTCAGTTATTATCTTTATGTAAATACTTTATTTAATCAATCACATTAATGCTCTTAAGTCATCCAGAATTTTGTATTATCTACATTTTTATGGCTTACTGAGGGGGAATTTCACTTTCCAAAAGACTATTATCTTAAAATACAGCAATGGTATGTGCTATTTAAAATTCTATTTAATGTTCTCATGTGCAGGCTTCCCAGAATTTAGATATTTAATAACTTTTTGACATATAATGCAAATTTATATGCATTTTAATAGTATTACTGTTTAGTGTATTTCTTGGCACTTACTAATATCCATTGAAGGCAGTCTTACCACTTATTAGACATTCCTTTCAGTTTGGAAGAATATTTATTTTCTAATGCCCCATTTTGCAAAATAAATGGACAGAAAAATGTGATTGCATTTAACTTTTATTTCCTCATTTGATTGTAAGAACCAGTGTGCTTTTGAGAATGTGATACATATTTTTAAGGGGAAAAGTTTCATGAAGCTTGTTTCTTTTGTATACAGATCCTGAAATGGAAAGCGAAGAACAGCCGTTCTCTGAAAATGATTCCCAGAATCAGAGCACTGATCAGCTTACTTCAGGCTCTCAGGAGGTGGACTTGGGTGATCAAGAGTCTCCTGAGGAAAGCTCTCTGAACTCGCACCCGGAATCCTTATCTGCAGCAGCTGCAGACGATGCTGCAAGCGTGTCTCCTTCTGAACAGAACTCTAACCCCCCGGAAAACCATGAACCTGCAAGTCTTGATGGTGAATGTACAGATTTAGATAACCAACTTCAAGAACAATCAGAAACTGAGGAAGATTCCAATCCCAACGTTAGCTGGGGGAAAAAGGACCAGCCCATAGACTCCATATTAGCAGACTGGAATGAAGATATAGAAGCATTTGAAATGATGGAGAAAGATGAACTATGACTCACTGAAGAATCAGGTGGTAGGTATTTTAAAAGGAAAGGTAAACTGTGGTTCACAGACCCCTCATACTGAGCAGGCTCTCCAGTGGGAGGCTTTGAGTATGGTGACGAGCACCCACGTCCTGGCTGGGAGAGCGGGTTATCAGAGGAGCCTGGAGCTCGCTGTGTTAGAATTGACCTTGTTTGAGACTGGCCCATGAGAAATGGAGACTCACAGCCCCCTCCGACGGCAGCACCCCAGGCCGGGAGAAGACTGCTGGACTCGCCTAGGAGCCAGGTTTCTGCGGGCTCTGGATAGACGAGAAACAAATTCGGTTGGTAGTGGCGTGGGGACTAGGAATTTGTATTGCTCTCTGACTAAAGGAAGCTCTGCTTTCTTGGGCTGGGGCTTACAGCTTCCTTTGGGAAACACGTGTGTATTGTGGGCCTTCTGGTCGTGCTGCCTTCACAAAAACACTCGAAGTGGCCTAAGCGGTTGTGAAGCAAATGTGTTCACAGTGAAAACAGCCTTTGCTCTTCTCTCTCACTCGCTTCATTGTATAACAGATCAAGATGACTTGATTTTTTTCCCTCTTAACAAGGTCCTTTTCATTTAAACCAAAGGTGAAGCCATTGAACTTCCTCAGTGAGCTCTCTGCATAACGAGTAATCATTATTCAGACCAGGTAAAAAGATCATATAATATATTGTGGAAACTGGTTACTTAATACCTTTGAAAAATGGAGCAAGGGAGAAACTATAATGTTGCAATATGAACTTGCCACTGGGCCTTCCACAGGGAAAGCTGTGACTACTCTGAGAAGGAACTTAATGTTATATGTCCTTGTAGGGTAAATGGTAAATCTGTCCAGTTCATTTCTCCTAGAGGTGATTACCTCTGGTCCTCAGCCTTACTCCATCCCACGTTTAGTGTGCAGTTTGAGCCGCAAGGCCCATAGAGCTGAAAGCTAAATACATTTTGTTCCATTTTTCATCTTAGGAAGCTATCTTAAAACTGTGGTAATGATCTAAAAATTCTGGGGTAATATATATATTTTTTCTCTTTTGAAACTATGGTTTCTAAAGTTGTACCTAAGGGATCTGTCACATGTTCTGTTGAATCATGGTTTTTAAGTTTGCCTTTTTTTTTTTTTGAAACAAATATGTCTTCTGATGTGGACTTGAAAATTAGTCTATGGTAACCTGTGTAAAAAACTTACACAGTAGCAACTAACATATAGCCATATTGTTTAATAAATTTTTTTTTTTTTTTTTGGTGGCAGTCTGGTGCTGGCCACATTGAAGTTTTAATTTTTTGTTGTTGATATCTGTAAGCAGCCCTGTAGTCGAAATAATGGCTTTATTCAGTTTATTTATTTTGAAAGACTGAACCTGAATCAGTTCTAAAGGAGTATTTGTGAGACTTCATTTTCTCCCTCTTCACCGTGACAATACATGGTGACCTCCTCCTAAAACAGCTGTGAGGTACTGATGGCCTGCAAGTGGGTGCGGAGCTGTTAAGGAACGGCAGTGCTGTCTTGTAGTTATGTATATTCATGTACAGTATGTCTTAGATCCAGGTAAACATATTCTTTTATAAGGGGATAAATAGCTGCTTTCAGAAATCCAGCTCAACTTAATTGGGTCAGTGAGTAATCAATCTAATAGAGAATTCACTTTGGTGGGGGGATGGCGGGGGACAGAGTAGTACACGAGACCCCCATTGGCCCTCAATTAAACCTGACACCAAAATGGATATTTTTAGTCACTGCATGTGAAATCTGGTGTAAGAAGATAGAACTATAATACACAGAGTATACAAAGGGTAGACATAGTGCTTTGTTCACCTTAATTGCAAAGCTGCCAAAATAGCTGAAGCTTAATTACTTGACTTGCCTTGATTTATAGGACTGGGGCTTGGAGAAAAGGAGCAAATGTTTCTCTAAGAGACTTTCATTACAGAAGCCTTATATTTAGTGATTTGTTTCTGTTTATAGTGCAGAGCCATTGTTGTCTAAATCTCACTTTTCTAAAGTTACAAAACAATTTTTTTTTCCAGCAAAGGTTTTGTGGCATGTAAGGTAAAGCCAGCTTACTGCCGCTCTCCCTCCCTCTGGCCATTAGGGGGAGCTGTTGCCATTCATTGAGGTCTAGAAGCAAATTGCTCACTTGTTTAGAAAAGTGAATCCTTAAAAAAATATATATATTTTTTAAATATTTTAAAAAAGGAATAAAAAATTAACAAATTATACTCAACACCCCGGAGGAATTATACTTGATTTTTCCCCCATTTAAGAAAAGAAGGTACAAGGTTTGGCTTCAAAACTCCAACATTGTGATTGACTCTACATTTCTTATTTGACATACTGCCATGAAGTTGTTTTTGAGATCATTAAAAAATTCCAACAGCACTAGGAGTTTTTTAAGTTTTTTTTTGTTTGTTTGTTTGTTTTTAATACCATCTATGGGGGCTTTTATTTACTTGCTAAAGATTCAGGGGCTTCTACCCTGGATTTTAGAAACATCTGGTCTACCTCAGTTAAATGTCGACTGCATAGAAATAGAGCTGAAGTGATCACCACAGCCATAAAACTGTTTGACTAAGAAGGATCTATACAATGTTTACAAACCTGGAATCAAGGGAGGGTTTTATCTGAAAGCTAAAAGTGAGATATTAGAACAAGTATTTAATTCAGGTATTTTCAAGTTTTAAAACTTAATCTTGTTTACCAACTAAAAATAGCTGTAGTTTTTCTGCTTATCAAAGTCCTTTGAAAAGATATACCCTAATTGGCAACACTTTTCCCATAAAGTTTTAGGTGTGAAAGAATTGTAATTACTAGGCGTGTTTGGGGTAGGATATTTTGTTGGGCAGGTTTTCTTTTTTCCTTTCAACTTTACTAGGCTTCCGACAAGAATACAGTTGTTGTTATAGTAAAACCAGCATTTGTTCTCTCACCAGACCCCATGCCAAATTCATCGTAAGGAAAGCTCGGCATAAGTAATTCAAATAGCGCTTAAAATGTAGAGGTGTCGTGGGGGGACTTAGTAAATATTCCAACCGGTCGTTTTATGCACAAGGCTTCAGTCAGAACATAGAAAAAAACATTCTGTGAATGAAATATTGTATGTTCAGATTTTATAAAAGACATTTTTAAAAGCCCAATTTACAGCCGTATATTTTCTTATGATGTAATTTATGAAAAAGATGTCTGTACTAACAGGTGCTGTAACACTACTGTTGTTGGATTTTATTGTTTGGTGATAAATGTAAACAATATTTCTAAGGGGAAGATATGTACTGTGATGTAAAAGTCTGGGCAAAATGTATATAATCCTTGTATATAATTGTGTATTTGATTATAATTACTGATTGTAAAGATTTAATAAAACATGTAAATATTCTGGTCTAGTTTTAATTTGAATTTTTAACATCACTTTGCATATGTTTATACTTTGGTAGAAATTTTCTCACATCTTCCCTTTAGAGTCCACTCTACACCAGGGGAGCAGATGGGGGGCCGTCTTGGGGTATAGACACGCAGACATACGCTCGACAGCGTTACACCTCGGCCAGGGCCAGCGACCCTCAGAGTGGAGTTAGTGATCCAGCGTCGTGTTGCCAGCGTGTTTATGTTTGGAGCTTACTTGTGTTTAATTAAATCAGTTGTCCTTTCAATGTTGTCACCAAAAGTAGCACGAACCTCTCCCGTTAGGCCCAGGGAGGTCATTCTCTGTCAGCAGCCACTTCCAGATCCTGAGATGCCCTGCTTTTCGTCGGCCCTGTCCAGCCTTTCTGAGCTCAGCTCTCTTGAAAGACTTCAGCATGTCACCGTTACTCATGGATAACTGCTTTCTTTAAAGACGAGCAAACTGGTGACTGGGCAACGGAACGGGAGCCCTTGCTCCATCCAGGGCGGCGTTCTCTCCCTCCTTTTTCAGTCCTCACCCCTTTCGCTTTTGTTTCGGTTTCTACTCACCATTTTTTGGCTCAGCCACTGCCTTCCCAGCGGGGATTGACCTTTAGAAACGATAGCATTCATTCTTAGGTTCTCTGGGCAGCGAGCCTTCGGTCCCCTAGGGCAGAGCGCTGTTTCAGGAAGAGTTAAAGGATCCATTAGTATCTCTTGGAGGATTTCGAAGAGGAGGTTGCTTTTCTGAGTGAAGCACACTTGAGGTGTGTCTAAGAGAAGCTAAGGGTTAATTGAAAAGGAGGTGTCTGCAGCTGCCTGCTAGGAAGGCTTACGCTTCTCAGAGCCTCAGAAGGAGCCTGGAGGTCTGGAGTCTTTATCTGCCCTCAGTGAAGTGGCTGGGAGGCCTCTGACAGACCCTTGGGGGCTGTCTTTAAGGCCCCGAAGAACGCACTCACCCTCCCAAATAACAAGAAATGCTTAAGTTTAAAAGTCCTATGGTGTGTCATACAGCACATTTCTACCCTTGGTTCAGTCTTGGTGACACTAAGAGCAGTAGGCAATGCTGAAAAAATACTCTGGATGTAATAAGAAGGGTTTTCTTAAATCAACAAGAGTGAAAACATCCCTCACATGGCTGAGGAGAGAACCAAAGTACCTAAAAAGATTAGTCAAAGATAGAGGAACTCAATACCAAGGAGCTGGCTCCTACCCTCACCGCCAACATCACCACCCCGCTGGAGCTGGGGTTTCGCAGCAGCATGAGGTACATCTTACACAGGAATCCCTGCCTCTCTCTCCTCCGAACATCTTAGAAAATCCATTGGCCTCAGGCCCAAGAGGCAATCTGACAGCCACTGCTAGCTTGCTTGTCTTTCCACCACCTTTCCTACTTCTCCAGGCCTTCTGTTTGCAGAGTAAACCGAGTTCTCAGTCAATCCCGGACAGCTGCTCCCCCAGAAGGGCTTATCTGTTCTTCCAGCCACTCTCCTACCTCACCTGAGGCATTATGGTAATTGTCTTCCAGCCCCCATTGTTTTAATGCATCAATAAAAAAACACTACTAAGGTTCTGTGATCTCAGTCTCTAATCATTACTTCCTGTTCTCTCAACTCTGTCCACTCACACGTTTCAGTCCCTCCATCCGATCCGCTGATCCTAGTTTGTCCGAATTCACCACCCTTTCCGGTGGCCTCGCTTCCCAACTTGGCCACCGTTAATTCACCTTTCTTTCTCCGTTGAACTAACTTGGCAAAACGTTAAATCTTATTAAACCCAACCACTCACTGATTCAGCATCTAAATTTAAATACCTGTTGGGACCGGATGAAATCATAGCCCCCATCACTACTGCTGACTGGCCTCAATTTAAATCATGACTATAGATCTCAAGTGAGGTTCAGTACTTCCCCAAATTCTAAGCACATTTCTCTAGCTAATTTATTTTCCCACTCTGAGACAGCTTTCATACCATTTTTCTTTTCAAATACCCCAGATCCTCCCCTGCACTTGCCTGATGACTTCACCCCATATTGCAAAAAAAAAAAAATGGATGCAGATAACGACTTCAACGACCAACCTATCTGTGCTGAAGCCACATGGCTTGTATTTGCATTTATCACAATAGAAATTTCCCTGCATGTATTCTAAGACAATCCTCCACTTTTTTTTTTAAACCTTGATATTGGAGAGCGGAACCCACAGATTGAAAAATAGGAGAATCCAGCTGAAAACTTAAAATCCACTACACCTCCCCCTGACCGCACCCCTTCCCCCCCCCCCCCCGCCATTGTGCATATTCTAACCCTGGAGGGAGCATCAAATTATCTCCATGACTGGAAGGTGTAAAAATAAATGGTACCGCATGCCTCATCGAAGATCTGGTAACCTAGGTCTCTGCAAACCTGTGAGGCACACTGACTTACACTCTGTTCCTTTCAGAGAAATTGGGCAATGAAATATTCACTGAATTTCATGTAATAAGTTCTTTTCCTTATGCTTTTGTATTTGTTTATTTTTGTTTTGTTTCTACTGTTAGTAGTAAGAATACATTGGTGCAATCCTTGTAGAAATCAATTCATCAGTACACATCAAAACCTTAAAATAATTACTTTGAACTCGGTCACCTACTACTAGGAATCTAAAGAAATAACTAGAGGGACAGACTTGGATTTCCATCCTAATGTTGTAAATAATAGGAAAAATGTGGACAGAATTTAGATGTCTATGGGGTAATGGTTAAGAAAAGTATAGCACAGTAAAAAAAAAAAGTGTGCACATTAAAATGATGCTTCTAAAAAGTTTAATATCTAAGAGCGTGCTCTTTAATTCTGATTAATTGAGCAAAGACAGGCTGCCCTCCTGCCGCCCTGCACTGAACCAGGTTCTGGGATATACGATTTTTACCGTAGTTCCAGGACTTGTTCTCATGGCTTCTACAGCCAAATGCAGAAGGCAGACATTGAAAAAATCACATGTACCCTGAAAGACCTAGGATTTGTAATCACTGATGAAAGTCAAAGAAACGATGGACCAGCCCTAAACGCTGTTCTGTGAAGATAATCCTAAGAAATATTTTTGTCTTTGTTGGAAGTAAACACTAAAAAGAATGCAACTCGTGTACTGGTCTCAGTGTCTTAGAGGCAAAAGATTTTTGTGATCACCACATCACTGCTTCTCTCATTGGATAGAAAAGAAATCAGAAGCCAAGGTGGAAAGTGACTTGACCGAGGTCACACATATGCAGGATTGACTATGCCTTTGGGAGCATGGAGGTTCTGGTGCCTCTGTTTCAAAGCCATTGCCCCCGCACCTGATAGCCATTCCTTACAGCACAGCCGTTCCTGTGCAAGTTAACGTTCCGCCAGTGGGGTAATTACTAACTTCACAGCTGCCTCCGGGGGGCCTTTACAAAACTCCAGGGCTCCATTGAACACGGTTTAAAAGCTACTGACTTAGATAATTTATTGTTCCTTATTAAGACTTTGAGCACATTGAAGCAAAAATGTCTTTTAATTCTCTGAAAACTGGCTATTCCCATTGGCAGCACTTATTCTTCTCTTCCTTTCCTGGTGAATAACCCCATTAGCCAAAGAACACACTGTGTACTTTCTTTTGTGCTGTTCTTAAGCTGAATGGACGTGTGTGGGCACAGCTCAAGCAGGGAGGCCAAGATACAGATCCTTCGCTGGGTGGGCCATCCTGAGGGTCCCAAACCCAAGGGTTCCCCGGCTTTCTGGGTGACGATGGCAGAAATGGTTCTATGTACACCTGAACCACTCAACTTGAAATTTCTAAATTTGACATTCTAAGAGAGCTTTGGTGATAGGCAACCTATTTTATCTCTAGATTGGTAAGGCAGTAACGGAGAATTCTGGGCTCATGAGGCCAGAGACATCTCCTTTTAAGACAGTATTTTCTAGGCCATATTAAAGTCCCTCATGGCTCGTCATGATAAGGTTTACTTATTGGATGTTTACCATATGCTTAGAACTTACAAAACCGTTTGAGATATGTACTGTCATTGTTCCAGTTTCACCCGTGAGAAAACCAAGGCTTAACCGTTGTGGTTCTTAACTCAAAGAAACACTCCGGCCAAGGAAAGCAGCGTGCAGGGAAGATACTGGAGGGAGAGAAAGTCTCTTGGAAGGTTCTAGCGGTGGCGCCAGGGGGATCTTGGGGATGGCATTATTTTCCCAACCTTTTTCTTTATTACATATAAAGTGCAAGTTAAGGGTACAGACTCTGGAGCCTGAGAGATGAGATTAGAATCCTGGCGTCACTTATTTTATGTGACCTTCACCTGGGTCCCTCTGTTCCCTCATCTGGAAAGTGGGGATAATAATAGAACCCATCTCAAAGAATGACTGTGGTCTAAGCAGGGAGCTCAGCACCACACTCATCGTGGGGACCCAACACAATAGCCATCATTAGCTGAAACGCCATGTAGCTGGGCTTTCGAGCCCACCCGTACCCCCCACACGCGGATTGCAATCCTTAAGCTTCATCTATGAATTCTAACTGTGGGAATAAGCTCTGGTCATCACTAGTGGCCGCACTGGCCGAGCGATTCACCCTTCAGCTTCTTACTGGTCCGAGTGGAGGTGGACATGGAGTATCTCACCGGTGGAAACAGTTTGGTGGGCTGGGGGCCAGCCCCTGAAGAGGAGTGTGTGGATGGAGGGAAGGCTGGGTTTCCCCGCTCTGCCAGGCCAGGCAGGCAAGTGCGCCTCCTTCCAGAATGAGGCATTAGCATCCTTTCGTTAGTCCCCCAATCCATCTGATCTTAAAATCTCAATTTACTTCAGAAGCAAACTTTATATGATCATGTTTCATGGAAAAGGGGTTTTGTAACTTTAAGCATGGGTAATCCTTAAATACGCAATTATTAAAAACCAAACTCATTTGCCCATGCAGCATTTAAAATTATCTTC